TCGTAAACAAAGAGGCATGGACAGCTTCCGAACATTCGCAGGAGTGTATTAAATTAACGGTAGAGTCTTTGTGGCCTAAATGAGTTTACCCTGGTGCGGAACTCCGGTCGACAATAAATGCGACCAAGTTCAAGCGAACCGCGCCGGACAACGGCTCGTGGCAGGAGCGCCGCCAGGCGGACGGCAGCGGTAGGTGCAGGCTGCTGAGGCTGATGCGGGTCCTGTCGGTTCGGTGTGTGTGGGTTGTGTGGGTTGGTTGGTGTGTGTGGGTTGTGTGTGGGTTGGTGTGTGTGTGTGTGGGTTGTGTGTGTTGGTGTGTGTGGGTTGGTGTGTGTGGGTTGTGTGTGTTGGTGTGTGGGTTGTGTGTGTTGGTGTGTGGGTTGTGTGTGTTGGTGTGTGGGTTGTGTGTGTTGGTGTGTGGGTCGTGTGGGTTGGTTGGTGTGTGGGTTGTGTGTGTTGGTGTGTGTGTTGTGTGTGTTGGTGTGTGTGGGTTGTGTGTGTTGGGGTGTGGATCGTGTGGGTTGGTTGGTGTGTGGGTTGGTGTGTGGGTTGTGTGGGTTGGTTGGTGTGTGTGGGTTGTGTGTGGGTTGTGTGTGGGTTGGTGTGTGGATCGTGTGGGTTGGTTGGTGTGTGTGGGTTGTGTGTGGGTTGTGTGTGTTGGTGTGTGGATCGTGTGGGTTGGTTGGTGTGTGTGGGTTGGTTGGTGTGTGTGGGTTGGTCGGTGTGTGTGGGTTGGTGTGTGGGTTGTGTGTGTTGGTGTGTGGATCGTGTGGGTTGGTTGGTGTGTGTGGGTTGGTCGGTGTGGGTTGTGTGTGGATTGTGTGGGTTGGTTGGTGTGTGTGGGTTGGTGTGTGTGTGTGGGTTGGTGTGTGTGGGTTGGTGTGTGGGTTGTGTGTGTTGGTGTGTGGATCGTGTGGGTTGGTTGGTGTGTGTGGGTTGGTTGGGTGTGTGGGTTGGTGTGTGGGTTGTGTGTGTTGGTGTGTGGATCGTGTGGGTTGGTTGGTGTGTGTGGGTTGGTTGGGGTGTGTGGGTTGGTCGGTGTGTGTGGGTTGTGTGTGGATTGTGTGGGTTGGTTGGTGTGTGTGGGTTGATGTGTGGGTTGGGGTGTGTGTTGGTATGTGAGTGAGTGGGCTGGGTGAATCAACGTACAATTACAGCATTCACACTCCTAAATGAACAATGTGATTGCACTGACATGTTCATGTGCATAATAGAGGTTGTTTTTGGGTCAGATCGCGGAAATAAAAATGCGTCGTGAAACCCGACACCACCCGACACAACCAATTAGTAAGATTTGTCACCTAAACAAAACGTGCTAATTAGTTACTACTTCAGCACACCGGTGTGTTGGAGAGTAAACAGACATTTACAATTCGAGCAATGTGATTTAAAGCAGCCTCATCAGGCGATTAGCCATGGTCATAAATAGAAGATTGAAGGTGATGTCATCACTGTGAGTCTATCAGGTGCGAAGACCAGAGGGGGGTTAATGTAGTCATTCAGATTACAATTGATCACTTTAATATGATAATATGCAGTACCTTTATTATTGGTTGGGTTATTCACAATTATTCATAGCGCGTGTTGATGTGTTCATGTTCTGTGAATAAGGCCATTGCCCAAAACGCTGCCCAATTTTATATTATTCATTTTAAGGCCATAGTGCAGTGGTTCTTAACCTTGTTGGAGGTACCGAACCCCACCAGTTTCATATGCGCATTCACCGAACCCCTCTTTAGTGAAAAATAAAATGTGATTTTTTTCAAATTCAAGACGTAGATATGTTTTTTACTGGTACACAAAATGAGCCGTGCATGAACATTACCTTGTTCAAAGAATAAAACCAACACAATGCATAAACTCACAACAAATTACATACCTGGAAATCAATGTGACTTCTGCTGTTGCCTTTGAGAGATCAGTTCAGATATGCGTGGCTTCACCTTGGCAAGTGCCACTCTCATGTCATTTTCACAGCAAAGTCTGTTCCTTTTCTTCGTTTTTATGTCCAGCATCCTCGAAAAGGATTGCTCACAAAGATATGTTGTAACAAATGGTATAAAAAAAATCCAGGGCTTTCTTAGCAATAACTGGATACTTGTTCATTTGTCGACACCAAAACGTTGAGAGCGTTGTTGTTCTGAAGAGTTGCTGTTGAACCTGGCTTTGCTGAATTTCAATGATTTCGTCGAGGAATTCATCATTGACATCTGCTGTTTCAACAGCAAACGTGAACGGCTGTCTCACCCATGCTGGATATGACTCTCTTGTAGGGAAATATCCGTCGAGAGACTTTGCAAGCTCATCTAAGTGCGTGGCAATTGTTTGCTTCAGTTCCGTGGATACAGAAATATCTCCGATTCCAGACACATCTTCGATCTTACTTGCACAGTCGTCCAGAAGCGGGAAGTTTGCGAAGTTATTGTTCTCTGTTCGTCGTTTCCATAACGGTAGCTTTTTTTGAAAAGCCTTCAGGTGTTCTTCCGCTTCCATGATATTGACTCCACCACCCTGCATCTGCTGATTGAGATGATTGAGAGCTGCGAATATATCAGCCATGTACGCTAAAATGAGAATGAACTCAGGATTTTTGAAGCAATCTGCATGGCAGTGTTGGTGCTCTTGCAAAAACAGGGCTAATTCCACACGCATGGCAAAAACACGATTCAGCACTTGTCCCCGGGATAACCACCGAATATTAGAATGGAGCAGAAGTACCTCAAATTCAGAGCCCATTTCTTTACACAGCTCACTGAAGATGCGGTGCCTCAGAGCACTTTTTCGCACATAGTTCACACATTCCACCACAGTTTTTAATACTTCTGCCATTTTTGGAGGTAAGGTTTTTGTTGCCAACGCATGCCTGTGCAGAATACAATGCGTCACAATGATGTGTGGTGCATCGGCCTTTACTAGCGCACCAAAACCAGACTTTCTTCCCGGCATGACTGGAGCTCCGTCCGTAGAAACTGCAGAAACCATATCCCATGAAAGATTGTTGTCTCTGAAGAAGTCATCCACAAGCTTCTTCACATCGGCTGCCTTCGTTGTTGTTGTAAGAGGCTTACAAAATAAAAACTCTTCTTTTATCATGTCGTCTTTCACATAGCGTACAAAAACAGCAAGCTGGCTTAGATCAGAAACGTCTGTGGTTTCGTCGAGTTGAAGGCTGAATTTTGCCGGGCTTGAAATCAGATCCGCGACTACTTGAGCCAAGATGTCTTTACTCATGTCTTCTATTCTGTCACTGACGGTGTCATTTGAAAGGGGAATTTGGGATAATTTACCTTCGGCCGCTGTTCCGAGTATCAGATTCGCCATCTTTAATGCAGCTGGTTTCACAAGTGTTTCACCAATGGTGTGTGGCTTGCCCTGCTTTGCGATCAGGTAAGCAACTTCGTATGATGCTGTCAGGATCGGTTTGTTAACAGGTACAAATCCAAGAGCAGGCAGAGTGGCCCTTTCATCGAATCTGGCTCTCTTCACCCTGAATTCAGCAAGTGTTGTGTTCTTGTATTCCCCGTCTCCATGCAGCTTCAAGAAGTGTTCCTTTAGTTTTGCCGGTGCAAGACTAGAGTTGCTCAACTTGGCGTTGCAAATCATGCAGATAGGACGCTCACTCCCATCACGTTCCGTGATACATGAGAATCCATGTTGTGCATATTCGTCCGACCACTTTCTTCTTTTGCCCGACATAGTTAGTATGGATAAAATATTAAAGAAATCACACGACGTACGACAACAACAGTCACACGTTGACTACTGAGTACGCACTAAATTCCCCGCAGCGCTGATTGGCCAAGCAGTGTAGCATGATCATCTGCAGCCAGTGATGGCCAAGCGGGCCGTGTGTGTCATCACAAATTTACACAATAATTCAAGTGTGTCCGGACCTCCGTGGCAGGGGCTCTGCTGAACCCCTGAGATCGACTCACAGAACCCCTGGCGTTTGATCGAACCCAGGTTAAGAACCACTGCCATAGTGTTATTGACGAATGTGTTGAGTTTTCTGAAATGTTAATTGTTTTGTGATGTCCTGTAATTGCACAGGAACCCCGATGTCATTCCCAGTACCAGGGCGCATTCCAGCCATGCTACGCCACTGCAAAGACAAATATCCCCCGTATAGCCTCAACAGACTGTTGGGGTACGTGCTGTTAGTGAGCACCGATGAAGGCCAGAACGGCACACGAGGGGGTGGGTGACCACGCCCGGTCGCCTTTGTCTCCCTAGCGGCGATGTTTACACACCGCACCAGGTACACATTTAAGGCTTAGTCGGCCTAGGGGAGTTTCAGAACCGGTTTGGATCATCGTCACTGGTGTTGGTCGTGAGCGGGGAATCAAACCACGGTCGCCAGATTCTAAGTGCTGCCCGCTAAGCGCTGCGCTAAGCGCTGCACTACCGCTGCCTACGAGCACATTCTCGGGTTGCCGGGTTCGTAGCGCAGCGCGCCTACCGCCACACTATGGCTGTCCCCTATCAATGCGCACACAACAAAGATAAAAAACAAAGATCCCCCATATAGCCTTAAAAGACTGTAGGGGCAAGTGCTGTTAGCGAGCACCTATGAAGGCCGGAACGGTACACGAGGGGGTGGGTGGCCAGCACCACGCCCGACCGCCTTTGTCTCCCTAGTGGCAATGTTTACACACCGCACCAGGTACTCATTTGAGCCTGAGTCGACCTAGGGGAGGCCCGGGACCGGTTCAGATAATCGTCACTGGTGTTGGCCGTGAGCGGGAATCGAACCCGGGTCGCCAGGTTCATAGCGCAGCGCGCTAACCGCTACACTACCGCTCCCCACGGCGCACACACACACACACGCGCGCGCTGTCCCGCACCACTCACCCAACACATTTCATCAGGGTAGCCAAACAAACAAATATTTTGCCAAACTAAAGTGGTGCTGATGAACAAACGTCATTTGTCACGTGGAGACGACAGTTGGGCCGCGACACTTTGTACAAACTCGGTGATGGATGATGTCACTCGTGCAGAGAGATGATCAACGTGTGGTTCGAGGAGCGCGTGCGACCCGTGGTGAGCGTCGACCGGACCTCCTCGTCCCGCGGAGTGGGGGGCGGCGCCTTGGGCCACGCGGGGGCCACCGGAGCCGGGGGCGCGGTGGACGGGTGCAGGCAGTCCCCTCCACGCAAGATCTCGGCCTCCGAGTTTGACCGGCCGCTGCGGCCGCTGCTCATGGAGGACCCAAGCGATGGCTCGCTCACATTCGTCCTGGGCACGGAGGCTGCTGCGCCGAGGTGCGGTCCCCCAAATCGCCGGGCTGTGGTGCGGTCCCCAGGGTCGCCCAGCTTCGGGAAATATTGAATGTATAACTATTTGATCGAAATATACAGTTTTTATTGTCGAATATTAAATGCATCTGCAATGACACATATATAGTTAAGTATTATTTATGAACGCATTGACATTCATTCGAATGTAAACAATGGCCTATGACATACAAGGGCCACAAGAAAAGTTGAGGGGCGTGGTGACTGCCCCTCATGCTCTCCTGCGGGGACGCCCGTGTCCTGAACTGTGAGTGACATGGTGGACCGTTAATTTGGGAGCGTGTGGTGGTGGCATTTGCGGTTGATAGTGGCATTGCTTATCTTGGTGGTGATTATGGTGACGTTGGTGACACTGGCGATGGTAGCACTGTGAAGGTGGTTATTATGGTGATGTATGCAGCAGCAGCAGCAGCAGCACCCAGAGGATCTAGTTCATCCTGCGCTCGCTACCTGCAGATCGTGGTCGTCCCCCCGGCCGCACGCGGAGGCCTCGGACGTTCCCGGGAGGGCCGCGTCGGGCTGCGTCATGGCCATGGCGACCTCCGTGAGCGCACACGGGGTCGGCTCGTCGCGCTCCGTCTCGGGCGAGAGGGAGCGCTTCCTCGAGCTGGTCAAGGACATCGCCTGCCGCCTGGACGTCGTGACTCTGTGCCACCGCATCCTGCTGCACGTCAACCAGGTCCCCGCAGCATCTGGGGAAGCCACCCGAGTTTAGCGGGGAAAAGAGACGAAGCAGTGGAGGTTACAATGTTTTTGGTTGTTTTGCACGTAATTACGTCGGGTGGATGTATTCAACATCTCAAACTGCGCGATCTAACTAAAAAAAAAAAAAACCCCTGAATTATGGATGATATTGGTCGCGAAAGCCTACGTGTTAAACCACATATGGATTTGCAGAATTGCTGTGAACAGTTTTGATCATTTTATAGAGTATTGTCATTCAAAATATTAGGTCAAATTTGGCATCCAAGCCAATTTACATCATTGTATGAAAAATAAGAATAGCTTTTACCCTTTCTGGCAATACAACAGGAGGTGTTAAGATATTCCAACACCAAATATAAACCTTTGGCAGGGAATCAAGTACTGCATTAACCACACACAGAGTACTTGTGGTGACCATGCAAACATTTGGTCAGCTTTGGCAAACACAATTTATATCATCTTTGCACTCTGAGCTGTGTGACCCGAGTTTCATACCCGGCCACAGCTGACATCAGTGGCGAGTGACATCTGAACCGGTCCTGGGCCTCCCTTCACTGATCTACATTGACCCGCATTGCAATTATAACCACGGGAAGACCATTAACAAAGAGATGAGTTCTTTAGCATCCAAAAAAATCTGCTTCCAGTCTGGCCAAAGCTATTTGTTATCATGGTTGCTGAGCAGAGCCAGCAGTAAACACAAAAATATGTTTTTCAATTAAAAAGTTACGAAAAACAGAGCGTTGTTATGTTCGTGCCGACGCGTTGTGCCATCCCAGGTGCTGACGGCCGACCGCTGCTCGCTGTTCATCGTGCGCGAGGACAGCTCCCAGGAGCGCTGTCTCGTGAGCACCCTCTTCGACGTGTCGCTCGGCTCCACGCCCGAGCAGGCCCGTACCAGCTGGCTGCGGCTCGCCTGGGGCAAGGGCATCGTGGGATACGTGGCCGCTACGGGCAACGGCGTCAACATCCCCAACGCCTACCAGGTGCGAAGGGTCCTGGTCCGGAGCCGGGGGCGGGCGGTGGGGGAGCGGGGCTGGGCCCTGCACCGCCAAATGTCACCTTTGGCCCAACCCAGGTTCGCGCTCCTCCTGAGCGGTGAATCGCTGTCGTGATAGCCCACGCAAAAGGGGGGCGGTGGTGAGATATTTACTACCTCGCCCGGTATACAGGGGGTCATTGGTTCGATCCCAACCCCGACGCCTGTATATTTGGAGTTTCCATGTCTCTCTCCACGTGGTCATGTGGATTTTTCCCCGGGTCCTCCGGTTTTTCCCTCCACATATAGAAACATGCATTTAGAGTATTTGGCTGCTTTAAATTTCCACATGATAAGCCACTTTGTTGTGTTATTATTGCTTGTGGCCAGGTTGCTTCCGGGAAAGAGCTCAGTGGGCCCTACCGGGTAAAATAAAAATGAGTTTAGTTTTTATTGTTTTAGTAACAGCTTTGTACATTGCCAGGGCTCGGGTGACATCACGCTCCTGCCCCTGCTGGGCAGACCGAGGAGGGGGGGGGGGGGGAATTCTGTCTGGCTTGCTTGGTACCGATTCTTTGGCTACAGCATCACGCGTAGAGTTGATGGAATCAGACACATTCTGGGTGACTTGGCCATCGGCTAAGCTAAGCAGGTTAGTACATGGACCAATAAAAAAAATGTATGTCTATACGGCGCGGTGTGCAAGATGACTAAAGCGCTGGTACGATAATGGTGAAATCTACATTTAAATACAACTCTCGTTGTGATGTGCGACCACCATGTATGACAGGTGTTATAGGCCTGGGAGCTACATGGTGGGCAACAGAGAGCACTGCAGCAAAATCAACTGTTGCGCTGTACAATCAATTGTTGCGCTGTACTTCTGTGCTCCCAAAGTCTGTGCTCCCCACTTTCGGCAACCTACGCTGACCAAAATAGTGAGGTACGATCAACTAGATCCCACGATCCACACAGTGCGGAGAGGCCCTCGTCCAGCAGTGTATTGACAAAGTGCCGTTCATGTCCATGTGTAGCATTACAATAAGTTGTGGCAAGCTGCGAGTTCCGGTGTAGAGAGACAGTGCTGTCTGCTCTGTATCGAGGTGTGCCACAGTGGCGAGATGTTAACTACCTCGCCTGGTTTACAGGAGGTCGTGAGTTCGATCCCGGACCTGACACCTGCTGCTGTATATTTGGAGTTTTGATGTTCTCACTGTGGTCGTGTGGATTTTTCTCTGGGTCCTCCGGTTCTTACCTCCATATTTAGAAACATGCATTGAGAGGGTTTGGCTGCTATACATGTCCACGTGATAAGCCACTTTGTTGAGGTATAATTTGTGGCCAGGTGGCTTCTGAAAAAGAGCTATATTAGCTCAGTGGGCCTTACCTGGTAAAATAAAAACAGTTTAAAACAGAGTTAAATCAAATATGCTCGTTCACTTGCACCTTGTTCTATATTTTAAAACTAGGCAAGTATCAACAGTAAAATTGAGTAGAAGCCTTCAAAAGATGCATCACGGGCAATGTGGCATGCAGATGCGTGACTTTAAACGCAACTCACGAAGGGGTGCCCTGGGAATCGTTGCGGTGTAAGTAACCGTACCGGTAAAGCATCCGTCATAGAGCACGGAGGAATGCCGATCAATGTGCTGCTTATCCTCTCCACGTCTAGGACCCTCGGTTTAATGTGGAAGTCGATCTAATGACCGGCTACAAGACGCAGAGCGTGCTGTGTTTGCCGATTAAAGACAATAAAGGGGAGGTAAGAGAGCACTCTCACTTGCGTGACGATTTTGCCATTTCGAACGAAGGCATTTTTTTATGTGCATCATCACGATCCATGAGCAGATAGCCCGTAAGTGGCCGCTGCACATTTCGTCATTAGTTTCCACTTTCCTGTCTTGCGCCAGTACGCTCCAGTAGTGCCGCATCTCTCTGTCACCAATCTCTGATGTCGCCGTCAAGCCATTCACTGTTAGGTCTTTCTCTCTTTCTGGTTCCTTCCATTTTCCAAAGAACACACTTTTAATTCTCCTGTTGTTGTCCACGCTACATATGTGTCCAAATAGTGCCAGTCTTCTTCTCATCATGACTGCCTGCATTATCATGTCCTCTTCGACGTTGGTCACTCTTAGGGTCCAGTTGAGATGCAGTATCCTTCATTAGCAATACATTTCTAGTGTCAATATCTTATCTCTGTCAGTTTTCCTTAATGTGCAAGTCTTGCAGGCATACAACGCTGTACTGAACATGCATGTTCATAAGATGTGCAGTTTGATGTCGTTGCTGATTTGCTTGCTTCTCCAGATGTTATTTCCTACAATTACTCTTTTTTGCCTTTGAGATCCTTGCCCCTATGTCTTTCGTGCAGTTGTTGTCCCATGTCAGCAGACTTCCCAAGGATATCATTTTTCCTATGCATATATAAATATAATGACATATGTACATTGCCTTCTTGGACACCCGGCGCTGCTGTGTTTGTGAAACAGATTGTCGGGGTTGCTCAAGCAATAAACAAGAAGGGGAATAACGAAGGGAAGTTCACTGAAAAGGATGAAAGGGTAAGACTGAGCACATGACACGCGGAGTGAACGTCCTGGAGGCGCGTAAATCACTCTCGGTGACAGAGCACAGTGGCCACGTTTGCGTTTGAATTGGTTCTAACGCATTTCAGCAACACCACAGGATCGATACTTGAAATGCACATTTAAACTTTTACCAAAATGAAAATTATTACCTTACGGTAAAACATCTCGGCGTAAGTGATTTGAGGTTTTATGCCAATGTTTCAACAACGATTTGGCTATTCCTGCAGGCATATGCCAGTTGCACGTTTAACATCAATCAACATGTTTGACCTTGCCAAATGAGAAACTCAGTTGGTAGGGCAGCATGACTAGGAGGGTATGAGTGTAAATCCTTGCCAGATCGATTAACTTAATTGTCCCTCTTGGGTCAGTTAAACGAATACGTCCTGGGAAGGCTGCGCTACTTCATTATGAAGTTAAAAGTATATGTCCTATGGACGACTGGTCCTTGTAGAATTTCCACCGCTAGCTTCAGGACTGTTGGTCTAAATGAACGCCGACTTTTGAATTCACCGAAGCGGCCCACACCGACTCCCGCTGTGTGCGGGTGTGGGTGACCGTGGTGGCTCATCCAGCGTCTCTCCCGTGCGACGTCGCCTCGCCCAGGAGTTCGGGGCCTACTTGGCGTTCTGCGGAATCGTGCTGCACAACGCGCAGCTGTACGAGGACTCGCTGCTCGAGAATCGACGGAACCAGGTGAGCTCTCTTAAAACTATAAAACGAAACTGGCATTGGCCACAACATTACCTACAAGTTACTAAATTGGAATTACTCACAGCAGCGACAAGCTTGGCAGCACCCTCCTGGCAAAAGCGTCTTTGAACTCAGTGAGGCCTAACTGTCAAGCACAATTATAATTAATAATAACTTGGAGATTCCTGGCCAAGGTGTTGTGGTTTTCCACGGTGCCAGTAGCGCTGTAGCACGGTCGGCATGGGCCCTGGTGCAACGTCTCCCCCCTCCTTCGTATGCGGGCGCCTCGGTTGTTGGAGCCGATGGGCCCTGCTGGAGCCGCATGGCTTGCACAGTTGATGGTCACACAACTGGATGCCGGTGCGTGGGGCACAGTCCGGCGTGGTCGCCCGTGGTGGCGGTGTCAGTTTGTTTTTTGGCGTGGCAAATGGGCTGCACCACGTGTACGGTGCATACACTTAACACACCATTTTCAGTTTATTTAACATTTTCAAAAAGGCCATCCAATACATAGCTTTGTATCGTTTGAATGTGTGTGTGCACGTGTGTGTATATGTGTAAACAAGTGTGGGCAGGCCTGTATTGTCTGTGAAACATGAGCATCGTGCTGCTGCAATATAACGCCACCCACCCATTCATTACCTAGTTACCAGGTCGTTTAGAAAGGGAGTTCGTTTTCTGTTTGCCTCTGCACCGTTTGTTTGAGGGGTCTTTGTATAGAGTGGAGTCTGCCACTAGCTGGCCAGTTTGTTACAGCACCTGGGCAGAAGCTCTGTGCGGGTGATAGCGTGCAACATGGCACAGGTTAAGGTAAGACAAACATTGACGGTCGTATAACCTTATAATTCTAAACGTATCATTCGTTTGTACTTAATGTCTTTAAAACAATTACTGAATATGCATAGTTTGGGGGGAAATGACAGAGTTTGTCATTAAAGCCTATGTATTATTTCTCTGAATCACCCGTATTGTTATTATTATTTTTCCGGGCAACTGCATCACTCGCACTTGAGCGTATGACAGTAATATTTCAGTGAATTAATATGTGCCAAGGGGAAGTATATATTCAACTGCTGCCACTGTGGATATGCTCTGACATACATACATCTTGCTACGTACATATTTGGAGGCATTTTTTTAAAATCACGGGGTTGAGCAGCGGTGCGGTGGTTATTGCATTGCGCCACGAACACGACGATCCGATGTCGCTTCCCGACTGTTGCCAACGTGAACCATTCCCCCCGCGCCCGCCGCCCCCGCCGCCAATCCGTGGTGAAGTATGGTCAAACACCCCCCGTGACCGACACGGTTTTGAGAAGGGCCTTCAACCACGTGTGCATTGACAAATGGCCGTGAATTATAAGCGACTTTTCACACTTTCATCGTATAGCGGCGTTGCCATCTTGCGTAATGGAATCGTTGCGCTCGCCCGAACGTGCCGGGCGCCGCGCCGCCGCCGCCGCCGCCCAGGTGTTGCTGGAGCTGGCGAGCCTCGTGTGCGAGGAGCAGAGCTCCCTGGAGGAGCTTGTGGGCAGGATCATCGACATCATCCTCTCGTTCATGCCCTGCCAGCGCTGCGCCGTGTTCATCGCCGACAAAGACTCGCCCAACGTAAGGTCCCCCTCGCACGCCCACGGCAGTGCCCCATGCGACGCGTACACGCGCCTACGCTAGCGCCCCACTGTTGTGCAATTGCTAGGGGTTATTTGACCAAACCATACATTTACGAACAATACCAATGACTGATTTACCCAGAAAAGCCACACCAAGTCCCACTACATTGGTTTGGCATTTGCCATTGTATACTGTACTTGTATACTGTATAAGTTGTCAACAACATCAAACTCAGCACATATTTAAACTTTGCGGCATTAAAATGATTTTTTATATATAATTGGCGACGTTTCTGGCAATGGGCCTTCACAGCGCATGAATAGAGAGCGCAGTGGAGAGACAGAGCGGAAGATAAGAGTTGGAGGCTGCACTTGCTTACACTATGAGGCCTGATGAGAATGACATTGTAAAATAATAACTGTTTTTTGATGACGAGTGTTTAACAGACAAACCCTTCAATAGTCACCAAATCATTTGTATGGTTGTAGATTAACATTTTTTTAAAGTCGTGTATCATTACTTGCGTGCTGTGTATGTGTGACTCGATACCCCGGACACCCTTGCAATTGAGATGTCCCAGCGTTAGGGATTATCTGGGCGAAATGTTTAAATAAATAAAATAAGACCATAAAAACAGATAATTCATCACGCACTGGCCAGTGAAGTTTAGTGAGGGCGGGGAGCATCGCTGCGTGAACACGCATGCACTGTGCGACGATGGATTCTACTGCCCTGACCTCTACCCCCATACCCAGTCAACATTCGAAATGATGTGCTTGCGTGTGATTCATTTATTTAGTTTTCCCTATGGTTTTATTGTCATAAGAGATCGCCAAAAAAAAATGTGTGAATAAAAAGCATGGTGCATCAACAAACAAAAATCTCCAGCTTGCATCGTCAATAGCTAACAATTACGCACTTTATTTATGCTAAAGACAAACGGACGTTATGCTATCGTGTGTTAGCCTTGCAGTGCGACAGGGAGCAGTGGTGGCAGTTTGCCGCTTGTTGCGGAGGTTTGTGGTTCGAGCCCAGCAGCCGCCCTGGTTAATACCGGGGGAGTGCGTCAACTACCAGTACCGCACGCCGCCTGCTTCACCGCGGGCGTTAAAGATCCAATGGCATCCTCAGTTTATCAGAGTAGGCAAAATGCGCCGTCGGTACGATCCACATTCCCAAACAATAAACTAACTCATTGGGTGAAACTAAATAAAGTAGACTCGATTATTCGTACTAACGACGGGAAGCAAACTAAAGGCAATCGGGGCCGGATTAAGGTTCTGACAGAATAAAATTCTCATTTTTTACCTTCCAAAATAACATGGTAAAAATTCGTTTCCGTAGGCCCTAGGCACAGTGCCCACCGTGCCTATTGTATAAATACGGCCCTGGAGGCGATCACGTGGATTTCTGATTAACCGGAGTAACATATTTGTTCGGTTCAAACACGTAATACACATTTCCAAGAATAACAATGTATAACTGTTTTTAGATGACTAATTTGGGCTTATGGGAAAATCCGTGAGTTATTAATTTATATCTAAATCTCAGGTGCGCGGTTAATCCGCAAATTGGATCAACCGCACGTGGATAATCGAGAGTCTGCTGTAACAACATAGCCCCCTACTGGCAGACTGGACTCGTCGGTGAAAAACAGTGGCCTTCGTGATAGCTTTGTGCCCCCATACCGTCTTGTTTCAAAAGTGTTCTGGGTGGTGGCAATGGTCTACTCTAAACGAACTCGCAACAAACAGCAGAATGAGTCTCCGAGAAGAACGTCGGTGTTCATGATGGGTGCAGATCTTTTCCAGGGTATTTCACAAGAGCCTCGAGGTGCCCGGTGTTGCAGAAAACACCTCTCAAAGGTACAGTTTGCGTTGTAACACAAACCGGTACTCGGTGACAAATTCTAGCTCGGCCTGTCCGGAACGCTGCTGCTCCGCAAATTATTCTAGCGCCCGCCCCCCCCCCCCCACATCCAACACAGCGGTGATGTCGCAAGCATTGCATTTTTGTAACAAACGCGTTCATAGGATGACGTTAATTTATGGTACAATAATAAAGGACCGTTGTTATAATTAGGCATACGTTGTACATTAGTTGGTGGTGCCTTGTGCCAAGCCAGCCTTGCAGAGTTCCGGAAAACACCGGTGTGAGACTTTAAGTCCTGGGGCCGTCCATAAGTGACGTCACGCACCCACCTAGGGGGGGTCAGACATTTGTGACGATGTGTGACGAGGGGGGGGGGGGAGGTTTGAGAAATGTGACGTCGCATCAAAATGCGCAACTTTAAATAAATACAGACAACACGTTCTACTGAATTAAATATACTCTTTAATAAATGTTTTCTCCTACAACATGAGTGTGCAGCGCCACATTAAATACGCACTACAATGACAATAGTTTAAAAGCGATTTTAAGCATGTTTCATTTTTTTTGGGGGGGGGGGGGGGCGCAGAGCTTTGTGACGTCATATTTGAGGGTGGGGTCTGACTTTTTATGACGCCGTGTGACGAAGGGGGGGGGGGGTGGTGTCAAAAATTGTCCAAAATCGCGTGACGTCATTTATGGACGGCCCCCCTGCCTGTAACCAGGACTTGTTTCAGACATGACTTGCTGTGTTGAGAGTGGACGATATTGCACGGCGCTTGATTTAATGCGTTCCGGTCACGTTGTGCTCATCGGTTTGTCACTTTTCCCTGCCTCCCCCTTTCCCTGCAGTGAAAGTCAGAGTCACCCGGTGAGTTTTATCTACGCCGAGTTTGTGATGAAGATGCTCACTCTCCTCAACATTCCCGACGTGCATTGCGACAACCGGTTCAACCTCCCCGTGAGTACAGCCGCTTTTCCTGATCCCTAACACAAATGGGGAAGATTCGTTTCCTTTAGTTTGACGGTCACGGATGTCCACGTTGTTTGCTATGTTCAAGGTTGAAGAGAGGGGTAATTACAGGACGAAGAGTCTACTTTGTGCTCCGATACAAAACCGGAAAAAGAACGAAGTCATTGGTGAGTTCACGTGGCCACGAACAAGCACATGTTTGACCTTGCAACTGCTCTGTGCACACATGCGATTGTATTGGAAACCATACAATAAAGAATTTCACACAAGTGTACTTTACAGCGTACAGTCTGTTCTCCTAATCGCGTTCCTGAAGAACACCGCATTATGGAAACATCGCGTTATAATAAATAATATATAATACAGGGTCAAGCACAGTCCGCGACAACACGTGAGATGCGTACGCAGGCTGAACACAAACTAAAGCGAGTGGGTAGCATCTAGAAGCATCCAGCAGCATCCCTCCCCGTATGATGATGCTACGCCGAGGCAGCCGTACGACCGCTTATTCCTACTCGCGTGACGTAGTTCTGTTCACTCGATCGCGTTATATTCAATTTGCTTCCGCATTAGAAAAAAAAATGTGTTCCCTGATACATTCATCGCGTTTGATCCAATTCGTGTTATGAAAACACACACTACAGGGGATATTATAAAAACACTGACAGTATATATTAGATGCGGCCAGGTGGCTCAGCGGTAGTGTGTGGCTCGCAGTCGGAATGTCGCGAGTTCAGATCCCGGTTGGGGGGTTCAATCAGTCCATCCCAGTATAGGGTCAATAAAATTGGTACCACTTTGTGTGGAGCTCGACAGTGGTTGTCCTATGGATAGACTCGCCCCTGCCATATCTCATCAAGGAGCATAAACAGTCATGCGAAATCCAGTCATGCTCGCAGCAGTTTTGGCTTTTCCATCGAACAAAGACGGTCATCGCATCGCGCGCTTACAGATGTACTTCTGCAGCTGTCTGGAACGCTCTTCCTTCTGAGATTAGGAAGCCACTGGAGCTATGTACTTATAAATAACATACATCGAAAACGAATTTCTTTAGAACTGCTTTTGGTGTTTAGTTTTTTGTCCTTCCCCCGCACCTCCGATTAGCACGGTCGGCTACGTACGGTGCAAAAGAAGTTCAAGATACATAGATACTCACGGCCTTCAACGTTGCACTGCGGTCCATTCACTCTCTGACTGTGCGTGCCGAGCTGGAGACTAAAATTGAAGGGCAACGTTAAACCCGCGCGGTGATTTTTGCAAAACTGGAATGGCCATGAGATATCAACGTGAAAATTCCACCACTGGCTGAGCAGCAGCTCAATGCACATTCGAGCGAGAAATCACTTTGACATCGGACGCAACTCTACACACGAGGGCGGCCGGCGGTGCTCCACGGCATCGTCCTGTGCCGGGACTCTCAGAGTTGGCTCCCCCCGCGTGCGCCCACAGGCGTGTGCCAGCTGGTGAACAAGCTGGAGGAGGGCGCGGGCGAGGTGCGCCCCTTCAACCGCAACGACGAGCAGTTCGTGGAGGCCTTCGCCATCTTCTGCGGCATGGCCATTCGTAACACTCGCATGTACGAGGCCGTGGCGCGCGCCGTGGCCAAGCAGACCGTGACGCTGGAGGTGGGTTTCGACCCCAGACAGGGGCGCCTCTCTGTGTGTGTGGAGTTTGTGTATTCTTGCCCTGTTCTGCATGGGTTTCCTCCAGGTTTAGGGAGGGCCTTTAGCCCAGCGGTGGATTGACTATGGCTGATGACAATGATGATGATCAACAGCCAAAGCCATTCGGAGCTTGGGGAAGTGTTTGTGCTTTAGGTGCCTAAGCAACTGAATGTGGGTGGCTGGGTGGCAGGGTGGGGTAGTGGTAACACTTTTGCCTCGCAGCAAGAAGGGCCTGGGTTCTATTCCTGACTCAAGCACATTTCTGCGTGGAGTTTGTTCTCCCTCTGTTCTGCAGAGTGTGACTTAATGTGCGAGTGAGTTTATGTGTGCGAGTGAGTGTGTCAAGGCCTATATACCATCAGTAGGCCTGGGCTCTGGGTTGTTCTTTGTGCTTTTGGAGTCCCTGACTCTCTGCTCACAATCATTAAAGACCTTTATAATGGTGAGCAGGCCCGGATAAAACTACGCGGCCGGGAGTCAGAGTCATTCCTTGTTCACCTTGGGGTGCGACAGGGATGTCCACTGGCTCCCACATTATTTAACATCTATTTCGACCACATAGTTCCTGAAGCCTTCGATGGCTGTACCAGAGGAATTTCCATCTGGTAAAAATACAATGGGAGGCTGATCGATGCTCGGGTGCGGTCAAGCGATGGCTCCCTATTGGTCAACCATGTTATCTATGCCGATGATCTGGTAATTGCTGCTCACCCAGAGGAGGAGTTGGAGGTGTTGCTGCTGAACCTGGAGCGTGCTACTAAAAGGTGGGGCATTGCCATCAGCCCCACCAAAACTAAGCACCTGCCTGGGTATTTTGTACCATCAGACACTCCACCCCCACAACTCCCAATGGCGATGGGGCAGTTGTGGAGAGAGTGGAGAGTTTTCCATACCTGGACAGTGTGCTCATGACCGGCTCTGGTTTGACAGCAGAGGTCTCACTCTGAATCAGTCAAGCTGCGTAACGCTGTGTGGAAGCTGTCGCTCCACATGAAGCTTCAGGTCTTCTCGGCCACGGTAATGCCCTCCCTTCTCTACGCTTGCAAACGTGGACCCCCACTTATGGAACATCTTTGCCAGTTATAAACATTTAAAATGGCTTGCCTACGATCCATCCTGGGTTTAACCATGCTGGATTGTGTGAGGATCTTACAAATATTTGAAAGATGTCGACAAAGTCCTATCGGTGAGCTCCTCAGGCATGCAAGGCTGCATTGGCTGGGTCATGTAGCCCGCATGCCCAGCCACCGCGTGCCTAAACAGCTTTTGTTAATCCGGATAGAGGGGGCTAAACGGGCGTGGCATGGGCTAGAGAAGAGATGGAGTGATGTGGTACAGGAGGATGTGGAGCTGAGTGGACTTGCCGATGACTGGTACCAGCGGTGTCAATATCAGCCTATGTGGAGGAGGCTCGTGAAGGATGCTATTGGGCAGTTGGAGGTATTCGCCCTCCAACAACAATGGAGGGCAGAGGAGCGACGCTCACAAGAATGAGCGGAGCGCCGGGCGGCTAAAACACAGCAAGTTGACACAGTAGGGGGCACAGGTGGTGCATTGGCCAGTCATCTCAGTCAGTTGACCCATGGCACCTGGGTCTACCCCGTGACCTGCTGCCAGTGGGTGGTCGATACTTCACGTGGCCTTAACGTGCACATAGCCTGGCACAAGCGCCGTGGTGACGTCACCACCACTTAGTGGCGAATGGCGGTTGTTGTTGTTCGAGAGCGGTTGTGTAGGGGTTAGATTGAATTTTGCACTCCGAACCAGTGACCCGAGTTCGATTCCTGTGCATGGCCAACACCAGTGATAATTACCTGAAACGGTCCTGGGCTTCCCCTAGGTCGACTCGGCCTCAAATGAGTACCTGGTGCGGTGTGTAAACATCGCCACTGGGGAGACAAATGTGGTCGGGCATGGTTCTGGCCACCCACTCCCTCGTGTGCCATTCCGACCTTCATAGGTGCAAACTCACAGCACTTGCCCCAACAGTCTGTTTAGGCTATAGGGGGGATCTTGGTCTTTGTGTGTGTGGAGTGTGCATGTTCTCCTCCTGTTCTGCATAGCCAAAAATAGCGGACAATGTAACTGGTATTGGCCAAACATACCGAAGCTGAAATAATTACCCTGCAAATTACTCAATTGGGATCACACACAACAGCAAGATGACACACGACTGAACAAAAACCTGGCAGGACCATCCTATAAAAGAGCCTTGAGACTCGATGAGGCCTTTCCTGGGTAAGCGACCTTAGTAATAATAAGAATAAAGTAGTTGTAATGGTAGCCGTATTAATGATACATAGCAGTTGTTGCATACTGCAGTCATAGCAGTAACGTGTATGCTGTGTTTGACTCCAGGTGCTGTCATACCACGCCATTGCCCACGAGGACGAATGTGCCAAGCTGCAGGTAATGAACCCAGATCGCCATGCAGCTCATATGCACATTTACCAGCCATTTAGTAAATCCACTGCTGGATGAGACCCGCCTGCCAAACGGGTCATGGGGGTGATTACACCACGCGCTGATCAACGCGGACTGGTGAAGACGCAGAGCGAATGTATGCAGGAGCAGAGCTGTACATACAATGATTTAGCTGTATTGCCTTCTGCTGCCCACCTGGTAGCCGCAACCTATAACTCCTGTTATGCACGGTGGTCACGCATTCAAGTACCATCCTGGTTTAGCCCCGTTTAGCTTCTAAGATCCGATGGGATATGGGCACATTTTGGGTGATTTAGTCGTAATGTCCCAACACCTCACGTTTAAGTGGGTGTACTGTCGTAATGTCCCAACACCTCACGTTTAAGTGGGTGTACTGTGGATGGACTTGCCACCATAGGAATGTGGAATGTCTAGCGCTGTCTCAGGGCTGTAAACAGGAGGTGAGTGCCGCCTCTGTGCTCATTTGCGCAGGAAGTCACCGTGGCTTTTGACTGTTCCCGTGCAGGAGCAGCCCGTCAGTTGTTCTCCTCTTCATTCCCACAGACGACGTCGGTGCCTTCGGCCCAGTCGCTCAACCTCCTGGACTTCACCTTCAGTGACTTTGGTATGGCGGAGGAGCTGACTGCCGTGGGCTCCCTGCGCATGCTCCTGGACCTCTCGCTGCTGCAGACGTTCTCCATACCTAACGAGGTGAGCGACGCTGCGTTTTGCAAGCCGCACGTTAGTTTTCGCAGGATGTTCTGGATAGAAGAGGTCAAGGGGCAGCCCTGCGATGGCTTGCTCCCCACCACTGCTGGAAAAAGGGCCGTCAAGAGAGGGAACTCCATAGAGCAGTGGTTCTCAACCGGGGGGTACCCCTGGGGGTACGTGCAAATGTCCCAGGAGGTACATGAGGCAAATAAAAAATGTGTGAAATGATATCATGCGTGAGAGTCATTGGTGAATAATGATGTATGAATTTGCCAATATAAAATAACTACGATAACATTTAAATCAATATGGTAACCTAGAACGATAGAGGATAATTTTCTAAACTCACTGATTGTAAACAATGTGGGTTTCCACGAGTAACCGGCGAGTTCAAACAAATTACGTCACGCGTGCAGAACATCCGTTGCTTTTTTTTTCGCTTCCAGTTATTAGCTAGTTTGGATACCTGACAAAATGGACAATTGGTTAAAATATCGATGTCCATTATTTATACATTAATTTCTCAGAACCACGTTGGGTTGGGCAAGGGGGGTTTCTCAGTTGAAACAAAATTCAACTAGGGAGTCACAGGAGCCGAAAAATATTGAGAACCACTGCTCTAGAGAACCCCTGCAGATGGTATCTTGGCCTTCACTGTTACACCGGCCGGACCTCTGGTGGTGAGAGTTACCCACACTCTACCTCGACCCGCCGATCGACATTTATACCGCATGGGTGGACAGAGGCGGTGGGGAGAATTTAATAAAGTTATGCCGTTGTGTCAGCAGCTGTGCCGAGACATGGAGTCGAACAGGAAACTTCTGGATTACAAGTCCAGGGTGCTAAACATTACCACGCGACAACATCCACTTTACATCCCATCTTCAATGTTCTTCTTCCTAAACTCGTTTGTTTTGATAGGAGCAACTCGTACTTCCAAAGACGGCTTCGTTATCATTTATAGTGGATATTTTATCATATATCACAAAGGAACCTGTGAACTCAGCACGTGATTATGATCAATGCCCAGAAAAGTAAACGAAGGGAAAGATATTCTTAGCTCTCTCGGTAAAGTCACGTTGAAGGAAAACAATAAAATAATAAAATATATATAAAACAATAAAAATTCTCACGACGTTTCGACCATAACACAAACGGTCGTCATCAACGTGACTTTACCGAAAGAGCTAAGAATATGAATTACTGCAGTCATGAAAGCTTTAAATCAGAAGGGAAAGATCTCTCATACTTTTCGATTTAAAGCTTTCGTGACTGCAAGAATTCATCTTCTTTGATTCTTTCATTGAAGCTCTGTCGTCCCGACAGGTCTGTTCCTTTCACCTGAAGAAGGCCACTTGTGTTGTGGCCGAAACGTCGTGAGAATTTTATCGTGTTATTTTATTTTATTATTTTATTCTCATTCTACGTGACTTTACCGAAAGAACCAAAGAAGATCTCTTATACTTTTAGCAGGGAGCATCATGTTCAGTGTCACAGCTACCATTGGCTCCGTACTTACGAGTCATCAAGCAAGGACACGCACTGCGAGCCTCGTGCTAATTTCACGAGTCTGAAAGCGAGAACGTGCATCAAGAATATGAAAAGAGACAATGCCGAAATGCAACTGCGCAATGCCCCCCCCCCGTCGCGTTGAGTGCAAGTGAAACACTTTTACATCCAGCGCAGTAAAAAACAAAAAAATATCTCAACCTCCTTTCAGGTCGCTTGCCGATGGATTCTCAGCGTCAGAAAGAACTACCGGAGGAACATTGCCTACCACAACTGGCGGCACGCCTTCAACACGGGCCAGTGCATGTTCACTGTGCTCGTGACGGGACAGGCTCAGGTACGTTCTACGTCGGCGCCGGTGTGTGCAGGGGCCGTTGCAGTGCCAATGTCTCAACCTCGGCGCGTGTGTGTGTGTGTGCGCGCGCTCACACAACGACGCAGCTTGGTAGCTCAGTGAAGCTTTTTGTTGTGACTGTGTAAATGTTTCCGCACGGCGAGTGTCAACAAACGTGGGGGTGGCGGGGGGGGGCATGAGGCTGTGCCACCTTGCGGGAGTTTTTCAGCCGTGGATTTTTTTTTCCCAACAAAAATTGCACAATGTAAAAGAGCCTCTCGTCTATTCGGCCAGTTATTTACTTCACGCTACGGCCACTGATGCAATATTATTGGCACTCGTTTAATTCGTGGAAACGAACGTTTCCTGAATCCAATAATAGATGCCCCAAGCAACTGTCACCAGCACCTAGAGTGACACAGTGCATGTTCTGGTAACCAGCTCTGTTGTTGGTCATCGTCTTTGCACGAGTGAAATGTATTCACTTTTAGTGTCAATTATCTCCAAAGTTCCTGATGCACGACTGTGGTCATCCAAAACAGGCCATACAACGGATTACACAAATACGAAGGAGACGTCATGGCGATACGCTCCGCTACTCCCGACGACGTGGTTTATCTGGCTTGACCACGTGCGTGTGTGATTGTCGCGTGTGTGTGAGAGTGTGGGAGAGTGTGGAATGTGCATGTTCTCCTTCTGTTCTGCATAGCCAAAAACAGCGGACAATGTAACTGCCATTGGCCAAACATACCGAAGCTGCATCTACAGCAGCAGCCATACGAAAGAAGAAGAAGAAGAATTCCAAAGTCAAGAGAGATTTCCCGCTCTAATGAGCATTGAGGCGGTGCTCATCTCCTCTTTACAACAGTTGTACCCATAGGACAGCTGTTGAGGGATGATGGGCTGAACTATCTCAATTAGCCTGCAACATACAAAATTAATTTATTATTATTGTCAGGTAAGGTCCACTGAGTTATATCGTTCTTTTTCAGAGGCTACCTGGCCACAAATGATAGCTCAAAAAAGTGGCTTATCATGTGGAAATTTATAGCAGCCAAATACTTTGAGCGCATAATGATTATAAATGTGGAGGGAAAAACCGGAGGACCCGGAGGAAAATCCACATGCCCACGGGGAGAAAGACATGCAAACTCCAAATCTATAGGCATGAGGGTCGGGATCGAACCCACGACCTCCTGTATACCAAGCGGGGTAGTTAACATTTCGCCACCTGTACACACTAAGGGACCTTACACGCAAACTGTGTGTGGATCGTGCGTGTACGATTGATCTCACCTGTGCCGAGCGTGGGCAAATAACGAAGGGAGTGACGGGCGCTCCGGCCCCTCCCACGCCCGCGTCCCGCAGAACGTGCTGACCCCTCTCGAGATGCTGTGCTTGATCATCGCCGCATTGAGTCACGACCTGGACCACCGGGGCTTCAACAACTCCTACATCAAGAAGTAAGACCCGAGGGCATTTCTCATTCCTGGAGACTCTGCTCCACCCATTTCACTCGGTGGAGATGCTAGTATACTGTGTGACTAAGCCATTGCCTTTAATAAACCTTCATTTTAAATGTTTTTGTTACATTGCATGTTTTCTTTGGCTATGGGAATAATCGGAGAACCCAGAGGAAACCCTGTAAACAGGGGGCGAACATACAAACTCCACAGAAATGCGCCGAGTCGGGAATCGAACCCAGGCCCTCCTTGCTGCGAAACACGAGTGTTGCCACTGCGCTGCTCTGGATTGGCATTTCTCTTATTGAACCGTCCAAGCAAATCCTGACCATCGCTTTCAATGCCAGCCACCCCAGAGCCAGCCCCTACTCATAATTCATGATCCTCCAGGGAAAAACACGAGCGAGTATTGAGCCCCAGCCCCTAAACCCAGCAATGCAGCAGGGCTCCCGTTGTCATGTCCCTTGTTCTGCACCAACTCACTCAGTGGGGATAATGGCACAAACAGACACGGGGCATTCTTATTTTTCTCGTATCCTGCCACCACAGTCGAATGTTTATTCAGGGTCAGGCTCATGATGATGTGGCCGGCTTTGTATAGATCATGGCTGATGATGATGTGGCCTGGTCTGTAGCCCTGGTGAGGTCCTCCTTACAATGGCTCCTTCACATGGTCCGTGTCTCACTGCAGCCACAGCCGTGCGCCACATTGTCAGAGTAGCCCCATTTCTCTGTGTTGGTTCTTGACCTGCCCACTCCCATTCCAAGTGAGCGAGCAAGTGGGTTGATGAGTGAGCGGGTCAGCGAGTGAGTGTGTAGGTGGGTGGGTGATTGAGTGGGTGAGTGAGTGAGTGGGTGGGTTGCTCGAGTAGGCCCACTTCCACACGTTAACTCTTGAGCTACCGACTCTTGTCCAAAGGCGAATTAAACTCATCCACGGCAAAGTGTTCGGCAGCGACGCGTCGCCTTCGTGCATAATAACAGAACGCTACCGCTGCGTGAACTATCACCAACTGGCTAGACACTGAAGTCACGCTCGGCTCGTTGTGCGGTCAGCAGGAGTGACCACCCCCTGGCGACGCTCTACGGACACTCCATGCTGGAGCACCACCACTTTGACCAGTGTCTCATGCTGCTCAACAGTCCGGTGAGAGCACGAGGGGCTTCTGGGGGCACACGGGAGCATGCGGAATTCTCTCCCCCCCCATCATCTTTTTTTCGTGAAGCTTGCGTAACCTTGCCCAAGTCAAGAAGCGAACTGCCAGGTATTCTTTTTTTTTCCTTCTTATGGCGTGCAAAAAAGAGCAACAGTCCACACTTGTACGTTTAATGTTGTGAACCATTCCACGGCATCCGACATGGTAACCGAGGGGAGACCGCTTGTACCACCAGAATACGCCCGATGGTTTGCATCTCACCACGTTCACACTTCCGTTTGTGGAGGAAAAGGAGAATGTGCTGTTGGACACGGTTGAGAGCCATCCACTTTAACCCCTTTTCCCGTTCTCGGGACGCACGAGCGGCTCAGCCTTCATTCTATTTGGAGAGGCGGAGCGCCGTTGTCTTCAAAGGGTTGCATTGCGAAACTAGAGTTGTCTCCAGAAATAATTAGAATACCCAAGAGGCCTAGCTTTGCATTCCCCCTAGATGGGGAAATCCATCTCTCAAAATAAGAAGCCCATAATATAGCAGGAATGGCAAAATAAAAACGTAAGGTTAATTTGAAACATAGTAGACTCGCAAGGAAAAAGATCACGCTTCCATGACTTATACACATAATAGCACTTACCCGCTTCCCAATTTCTTAGGTATGCCCAACTCAGAGTGGCCTTGCGGGATAAGGAACGATCTCTGAACCTGACTGCCACCCAAACAACAGAGTGGATCATGGACCTTGAACAAAAAAACAAGCTATCAGTCACCTACGCTCTGCTAACAAAACAAGCCTCTGTACCACGACCAAAAACCAACAAAACCTGGTCTTCCCTTGATGGTGCCACAGTAGGAATTTCCGAAAGAGACAAAATCTGCACTAGTATGCTACAAAATCTTCACTCAGCCCCCCTCAGAGAAACTATGGCAATTACTTCACTAACCAAAGAAGAGCCAAATTCAACAAAACAACCTCCCCCAGCTGCCCGAGATGTTTCCGGACACCCCTCAAATACAGACGATTCCTTTAAGGAATGTCCAGATATTAACACGTGTTTTTTTTCAAATGATACATTTTTCTATTTTAACTACATTCACAAAACAAGCATCTCAAACTCACTAGAAATGTCCTTGTTGAGGTTGAAACCTCAAGGCCTTTCCAGGAAAGCAAATACATTATTCCAAATGTTCAATGTTATGGCAAAACGCACCATTATAGCCAGCTGGAAGAGCCACGCTCCCCCCAACACTGCTGGAATAGGCCAATTTCCAAAAAATGCCGCTCTGGAGCATCTAAGTGCCAAACTAAGGGGCAGGGAGGAAGCTTACTGCCAAACACAGAACCCCTACACTGCCTCTCCTCCAATGGGCATTGATTCTTAGAGCTCTCAGAGCATAGGAAGACACCACGGTTGTAGAGTTTATTAAGACGGTTTATTGAAATATTCGGTTTAGATAGGTTTCCATTACACTGTAATCCGTAATGTGTTTGGACTGATGTCAACCCTCCTGTCATATCCTCTGTGTACCTAAATCGTTTTGTTCTAAAATACTTTTTGGAAAAAAATTACATTGTACTCACCGCAGAGAACTGGAACGACACGACCACACTCTAATGATCGCTATTGCCAAACTATGCCACACGTCCTCCCGTATGGCCTTGTGGGAGCCTCGGTACTGATAAAGCGATTTTATTTTAGCTTTTCATCCACTTTCGTTTTGATAACGTAAATGTACGTCATCGGGAAAAGGTTAATAGTGCTGTTTGTTGCTGGTCGCTTGGAATCGTAGGATGTTGGGCCAGCGCTGAGCAAATGTGTTCACATGAAAACAACGGAACAATGTGATTTCACCATATGTGATGCCGGGTTGGTGCGCGGCGGCGGCGGTGGCAGGGGAACGAGATGCTGAGCAGCCTCTCCGTGCAGGAGTACCGCTCGGCCGTGGGCATGATCGAGCACGCCATCCTGTCCACAGACCTGGCCACCTACTGCAAGTACGCACGCACACACACACACACGCAGGTGAGCTTGTGTGTCATGGGCAAACGGCACGCTCGCTTGCACGTACACATCACAATAAGCACCCATCATTAATTGGCTGGAAACGTCTGAAAATAAAAACCCACCTGAATCAGGGTCCCACGATTCGGTGTGGCTTTCCTGGATACATGAGTGGAAAGTAGAAATGTAACCACTTTGGATTAATGCTCAAGAATTCTCAATACAAACCTTACTAAAAACAACCTATCTCCCTAAAAACAACCTATCTCCCTAAAAACAACCTATCTCCCTGCCCAACATCTCCCGTTCCACCGTTTGCTCACCCCGGCTACCACTGAGACCCCGACCCTTTCCTTCACCTCATCCCGACTCGACCACTGTACCTCTCTCTTCTACCGGCTCCGCACACTCTTCATCTTGAAACTTCCGATGATCCAAAATGCGGCTGCCAGACTTCTCACTCGCACCCATAAATCAGACCTAATTTTATAATCCCTCGACTGGCCCCCAAATCAAACGCAAATCAATTTGAAGATTGCACTCTAATTATCTTCAAGATCCTCAATGGACTCACCCTTGCCTACCTCTCCCCTCCCATCTCACTTCATTCCCCTCCACACCCTCTTCTACCTTTCCCCTTTCATCTCGCACTACTTCCCTCCACATACTCTCCGTTTCAGCCTACCAGGTGTGTTTGTTGAATCCCCCAGTTGACCTTCATCAGTGGGAGGTCGCTCATTCTACTCTGCTGCCCCAGTCTAGAACTTCCTGTCCTTGCTGTCGACTCCGTGCCCTGTTCAAGTCCACGCTCGATTATTTTTTTCTTCCTACGATTGCCTCAACAACAGAAACATCCACACTATCTGTAGAGCATCACGAGTTGCGGTTGCACTGATGTGCTATATAAATACTGTGCACATTGGACTGTTTTCCTCTAAGTTAGACTTTACAAATGCAATTTGTGACACAAATTTATGTAAACATTTACGCGAGTGGAACACAGGCATAATGCAAATAGGCTTTTCTGATTGGTGCCACCCATGCTCTGCCTTGCCAGGAATCGGGGAGAGTTTTTCTCTCTCGTCAAGGACGGAACCTTTAACCTTGAAGATCAACATCACCGCAAGCTACTTCGGTAAAAGCGTAAAAGCAGTCTACGTGAAATTTATGAACGTAGAATAAATGCAAATTGGGAAGCAAAGTGAATAAAAGTCACATTTTTTGTTCAATGTCATCAACTTCACATGGGCACACGGTGGCACTTGGTGGCACATGGTGGCACTCAGTGGCACGCGGTGCCACACGGTGGCACACGGTGGCACTCGGTGACACGGGGTGGCACACGGTGGCACTTGGTGGCACATGGTGGCACTCAGTGGCACTTGGTGGCACACGGTGGCACTCAGTGGCACGCGGTGCCACATGGTGGCACACGGTGGCACTCGGTGACACGGGGTGGCACACGGTGGCACTCGGTGACACGGGGTGGCACACGGTGGCACTTGGTGGCACACGGTGGCACTTGGTGGCACACGGTGGCACTCAGTGGCACGCGGTGCCACACGGTGGCACACGGTGGCACTCGGTGACACGGGGTGGCACATGGTGGCACTTGGTGGCACACGGTGGCACTCAGTGGCACGCGGTGCCACACGGTGGCACACGGTGGCACTCGGTGGCATGGGGTGGCACACGGTGGCACTTGGCTGTGATTTAATAATACAAAGAAACTGGTATTGGCCAAAGTATATCGCAATGCCGAAAAATTACCTGGAAATTGCTCAATTTGGATTTCACACAGCAACACTACCCCCTCCTGTGAAACACAAGGAAGGTCTATCTTGAGAGTCTCGAGACTCGGTGAGCCTTTCCTGGCTAAACAAGCATGGCAAAAATCATAAATGCAGAACTTTAGGGGCAAGTGCTGGTGGCTCATGAATTTGTGGGATTCAAAAACACACTGAGTACAGCAAATGGGCTCATGAACCTATCTGTTTGGACCTACGATTGCTATCCCCGCGTATGCTCAGGATTTTCGCCACTCTTCAGTTTCCTTCTGCACAGTAAAAGGAAAACTCCTTAAATTTATTTACATAACATCCCAGGATCCTCCTGAAAGAATATTGAGGCTCTATGAGGCTTTCATGAATTCGTGAAAGCGTTTTCATTAACTACTGTCAATGTATAAACACTCATTAATTGGGTGAATACATCTTAATATCTTAATATATAGAGGACACCTTGCAGCTTTCTGTGGTTCCTCGGCAATTGTGAGATGCAATTTACTTGAACGACAGTGCTATATACAACTAAACGCGATCATGTAGTGGTGGGGGTAGAGCAGTGGTGCAGTGGTTAGCGCACCGCACGATAAACCTGGCAACCTGAGTTAGATTCCTGTCCCTGGCTAACATTGCTGTTAAGCGATATCTGCATCGGTCCTATAGCCCCCCATTCGCCGACCCGCACCGACCAGCATGGTGAAGTATGGTCAATAACACCCCCACGACTGAAAATTAAACAGAGAGGCCATCATCCAGCAGTAGCTTAACACAGGGCTGTGACAATCCACTGCATATATTATTAAGTGGAGTCTACACACAAGGCACAGGGATTTTTGGATCGCGGATGCCTTAATGAACCATAGAAATAAGTCGCGAATGCGAGGCGCGACGTCAGGCTCGCACGTTCAGCGCTGCTGCGTTATGAACCCCTGGCAGGGCCATGATGATGACTGCGTGCGACGTCTCTGCCATCACCAAGCCGTGGCCGGTGCAGCAGAAGGTATGGATCCCTTCCTGCGCTCGCTTCACATCCCGAGCATGGGCGCCCCGCTCACGTTCACAGCGGTGCAGTGGGGGAGACAGAACGTCGGCGGCCTAGTGCAGGGAAGCACATTGTTCGTGTTTGACCGAAATCTTACTAATCCGTCATCCGTGGTGTTGGCTGGAGGGTGAAGCGGCAGTGGGTGCTAAGAGTCTGTGGTGCCAACCGAGATAAACGTTTGGGAGGGGGGCAGCAGCATTGTTCAATTATTTATTCACGGTTTTACATCTGTGAAAAATCTGGAGATTGTCGGGTACTTTTTGAAAACCTACGTAATGTTTATATGTGACATGGCAATGGGCCTTACGAAGAATATTACTGACGAAATAAACATGCACATTGACAAATAAAACTGATTGAAAGCTGAAACATGCGACAGAAAGAGGAGCAAATGGATCAGAGAACGATCCAATCAGAGACATCATAGGTATGGAACACATCAAGAATGGGGTGGCAGCCGGTGGTCAGAATTTCAACTAAAATTAAAAAAAACATCGGAGTGGTCGCCAAACGTGGGAACATTCCCAAGAATATAACCTCTGGGGAGAGTGAGGATAAGATTGAACTATCTACTATTAAAAACTTATATTTTTTTATTTTACCAGGTAAGGCCTACTGAGCTATATTGCTCTTTTTCAGACGCGACCTGGTCACAAATGATAGCTTAACGAAGTGGCTTGTCATCATGTGGACATTTATAGCAACCAAATACTCGAAACGCGTGATGTTGATTCTAAATGTGGAGGGAAAAATCGGAGGACCCGGATAAAAACCCACGTGACCACAGGGAGAACACGCAAACTCTAAATATACAGCAGCAGGTGTCTGGGTCTAGATCGAACCCACGACCTCCTGCATACCAGGCGAGGTAGTCAACATATCGCCACCACACTCAAGTGCAGGAGTGAAATGGATTGTAACATAGCACGATCATGAGGGATGGTCACAAACATATAACATCAGTTGCAGAAGTTCGCAGAGGGGTGTATATAATGGATATGGTCTGAGGCTAAGCACAGAGTCTGAGAGAAGCAGGCTGCCCAAAGGGTTTCACGCAACCGTGAATTTTCCCCACACCCACAGGGAGACGTAGATTAACGTTGAACGCGCGCGCTGGGGAACGAAGCTTCACCAATAGAAAGTGCGTGTCATGTTTGTGCTCATCGTTGGGTCCACGCCTCTCATGGTTTTGCTGACACGGGGACGAGACATCGCTTTGTGTCTTACCGGCGGGCACTTGTGAGCTGGCACAAACGCTGCGTGCGGCCGTTGTCTCTCCCATGTTCCCACAGATCGCCGAGCTGGTCGCCTCCGAGTTTTTCGATCAAGGTGACAGGGAGAGGCAGGAGTTGCACGTGGAGCCCACGGTAATTGCCTCCCTCTCTCTTCATCGCTGTCAAATCTCGGGAAAAAGGCTCGAAAGGCCCACGCATACCCACACACACACAGGCCCCTGTTTTAGACACTGACCCAGGTGCAGTGGCTTACCCGTGATGCAGATTTTTTGAGTTGGCGAATTACATGGGTATAACGATAACATTAATTAAATATTATTCGTAAATTAAATACTGAAAATGCATCTTCTATTAATTATAATGCTAAGTCAAATCTCAATATCTGCATGTGTAACTGAGTAAACTAGATTCGAAGCTTTCGTGACTGCAGGAATTACTCTTTGGTTCTTTCGGTACAGTCGCGTAGAAATAAATTTAATTAAATGATAACAGAATAAGACGTTTTGATTGCAACACAAGCAACCATCATCAGGTACAAATGAAAGAGAAAACAAACCTAGTAAACTTCCACACAACGCTCCGTTCTTGTTTGTTGAGAAGTCCAGCTAGTCCATCCACTATGGGCAATGACTCAGCCTTGAGTCATTGTTTTTTGACATGCAAACATTGCAATATCTATGCACGTGATTGTGTCAATTCAGCTGCCTTTAGGCTTCAACACTCATCAATAGTATTTGTCATTTTGAGGTCTCTGTGTCACAGAATGGAGTGAGACTAGGTTTTCCCCCCTTTTTTCTGGCAACAAAACAGGTGTTAAGATGTTAAAACACCAAACTGAAACCTTGTACAAGGAATCATGTCTGCATTAACCACAATACTTGTGGTCAGAATGCAAAAAGAAAACGTACTCTGATACTTACTCTGATACGCATGTTTTCTTTTTGCATTCTGACCACAAGTATTGTGGTTAATGCAGACATGATTCTTCGTAAAATGTTTCAGTTTGGTGTTTTAACATCTTAACGCCTATACTCTTTGATTCTTTCGGTAAAGTCACGCAGGTATAAAATAAAATAAATCACGTTTCGGGCGCAACACAAGCGTCCTGATGACGGACGCTTGTGTTGCGACCGAAACGTCGTGATTTATTTTATTTTATACCTGCGTGACTTTACCGAAAGAACCAACGAGTATGGATTCCTGCAGTCACGAAAGCTTCGAATCAAAGGAGGTCCCATAATGTAGAATGGAGTGAGTTCCACTCTGTATTGGCTCCCACAAAGTCCCACCGCCAGCAAAAAGTTGAGTTCCTTTCACTCTCGTAGGTTGACGTATTGTTGCTATCGGCCAGCTCCACCAGCAACAGCGAGGAGGGAGAGCTCTGAGACCACCGCCTCAGACTCCCGTGCAAGCGGACGCTCGTCCACTGTGCGCGTGACGCGGGGTTGTAATCACCGCGCACTACGACGGTGTAACGGTGGCGCGTTTGTGCCTCTCACTGTGCGTGACTCTGGCAGGATATGATGAACCGGGAGAAGAGGGATAAAATTCCAACCATCCAGGTCGGTTTCATTGATGGGATCTGCCTGCCCCTCTATGAGGTACGGTAGTTCAAATGATGCCACTGCGCCGGTTGTGTGATTGTGCTGTACGGCACTCCAATGTGTTTTTGGATTCGACCGAATGTTGTTCGGCATGATGTCCGACGTTTTGCCCCACGAGACTGCCGGCGGTGTCTCAGTCTCGTCGGGCATTATTATTATTATTATTTTTACAAACTTTTTTTTGTTTTAACCAGAAAAGGCCCACTGATCTATATCGCTCTTTTTCACAAACAACCTGGCCACAAATGATAGCTCAACGAAGTGATTCATACTCTTTGGTTCTTTCGGTAAAGTCACGTAGGTATAAAAATTAATAGATCACGACGTTTCGGTCGCAACACAAGCAACCGTCATCAGGTGTGAAACAAACACGGCAAGAGGACTGCTGACGTCGTGATCTATTATTGTTTATACCCACGTGACTTTACCGAAAGAACCAAGAAGTATGGATTCCTGCAGTCACGAAAGCTTCAAATCAAGATTGAAGTGGTTTATCATGTGGAAATATGCATAGCAGCCAAATACTCTAAATTCACGATTCCAAATGTGGAGGGAAAAACCGGAGGACCCGGAGAAAAATCCACGTGACCACGGGCAAAGGGACACGCAAACTCCAAACATGCAGGCATCGTCAGAGTCGAGATGGAACCAACAACCTCCTATATACGAGGCGAGGTAGTCAACATCTTGCCACCGTGGCGCCCTTATGGGGAACAGCATCCGGTACAACTGGTACATCCGGTACAACTGGCACATCCGGTACAACTGGTACATCCGGTACAACTGGTACATCCGGTACAACTGGTACATCCGGTACAACTGGTACACCCGGTACAACTGGTACACCCAGTACAACTGGAAAACGCATCAGGGAGCTGTGAGTTTGGAAAGTGATCAAAAGTGACTTGACTTGCAGAGAAAGAAAAATGAAATCTCGAGTTCACCTCTAAATCGTCGAGCGATATAATGCGCGTGAGTGAGGACTGCAACTTCGACTCGCCTGCACGGGGCATGCGTTCCACAGAGCACAAAGACACCTTCAGACGCCCTCCGCAGACCCAGTCTCTTCACTGCTATCTCACTAACGCACACACGCACATAAGGGCCCGTCCATAAATGACGTCACGCACCTTGGGGGTGGGGGGGGGGGGTTGGTCAGACATTTGTGACGATATATGACGAGGGGGGGGGAGTTTGAGAAATGTGACGTCACATCAAAATGCGCAACTTTCAATAAATATAGACAACACGTTCTGCTTAATTAAATAGACTTTTTAATTAATGTTTTCTTCTACAACATCAGAGTGTAGCGCCACATTAAATACGCACTACAATGATAATAGTTTAAAGCGATTTGAAGCATGTTTTATAGATTTTTTTTTGGGGGGGGGGGAGGGGCAGAGCTTTGTGATGTCATATTTGAGGGGGGGTCTGACTTATTGTGATGCCGTATGACGACGGGGGGGGGGGGTGGTCAAAAATCGCGTGACGTCATTTATGGACGGCCCCTTTAAACTCACACACAACTCAAGCAATGAATTACCGTATAATTATGCAACATAAAACTATAACTGAGTTCGTACTGTACTCGCCGGTGGAGGCTGGTAGTGAGAAACACGTAAAGACGATCGTGTCGGGCGAGTGCGATTTATTTGTTCATGAGAGGAGCAGACAGGGAAACAATGCCACGTGCTTCCGTGCTCAACAATGGGGCCGTGGACGGCGCCTCGCTTCTTCCTCCCTTAATACCACGAAACATTTCAGTTGCGTTTGATCTTTTTTCGCATCCGTGCATCCCTCACTCGCGTATGGTCAAAAAACTAAAATAACACACCAGTGGCTAGGGCAGGACCGGACGACGAATCTCGCTCGGGCAAAGCGTTTGTTGTAAAAAAACTCAAAACGCTTTCTGAGACTAAGGGAGGGGCCGGTGTTGAGGCAACCCCCCCCCCCCCCCCCCCCCTCGGCGGTCGTTCGTGGAGAACGGCGGCACGCGGCATCGTTCCCTGGCACCAACGGCCCCGCCGTCCGTAGCCAGCACGGCGACCTCCACATGGACAGGGAGTGGGCGGGGGGGGGGGGGGGTACAGGACAGCCCCCCCCCCCCCCCCCCCCCCCACCGGCACCACCATCGCGACCCCCGGCTCCCCCGTCGCATGCCGCTGCGAACCGCTAGCCCCCCCCCCCTCCCCCCCGTGTGCTTTCCCCCCTCTTTGATAGCCAACAAAAATTGGCGAGCGGAGAGAGCCGCACCGCAGAGCGCGTGGTCAGGTGCATGTAGAAATGTAAGCGATGGATTCGTAAATCTTGACTCTCGAGGAACAAAAAACACTCAACGCATTCGTCAATAGCACTGCCGTAAAGCGGGAAAAATATCGAATTGGCAACGTTTCAGGCAACGGCCCTTCTTGAGAGGAGAGCGCCCTATACGTCGCCTATTGTACTTATGCACTGTATTGTTTCCTCCTCAGTGCGGTGTTGTTGACACGCAGCTGTGCTGTTTGGTTGTTTTGTTATTTATGACAAGGAGGCGTTTGTATCGTTCTGATGTCTCTACTGCCCGTCGCGTCACCCTCCCGCAGGCCCTCAGCTGCGTGTTCCCAGCGTGCGCGCCCTTGCTCAGCGGCTGCCAAAGCAATCGGCAAAACTGGGAGAAGCTCACGACGAGGTGCGATGGACAGCAGGATCCGGGAGCGGAGCTCAACGATGACGGATTAAAATGAAATCGAGACCGAAGCGAGGACAAGAATCTCACGTTTAAACGTTCAGTCAGGAGGATGTTATTATGCACTGTATGCGCGAAGACGTTTTGTTACGACACCCCGGATAGGGATGCGGACATTCTACAATTTTCTTTCCATTGCGTGTAGTCCCCAGGGGACGATCGTGAAAGGCGTGCATGCGAGGTGGCACTCGTAGCAGGAGGCGACCTCCAGCGGCGTAGTGGCCGCGGTTGGCTTGGGCCCCGGGGTGCAGGCCATCAAACGGCTCCCACCGCACCCCGGGGCGACGTTCCACCCCCTTCGTAGCCCTGCGCCTCGACCGCACACAAAACCCCGCGTTTCTCTCGTCAGAAGCCTTCTTGGCTGGTGTCTCACGTTGAGTGGCCCTGCCCACGGCCTTATATTTAAAAAAACTAAATTGTATTTTTTGTTTTTTTTTACCAGGTAAGGCCCACTGAGCTTGCATAGCTCTTTTTCAGAAGCGATCTCGCCACAAATGATAGCTCAACGAAAGCGGCTTGTCATCACGTGCACCGCCTGGACATCTTGATGGCTACGCCACTGGGGCATCACAGTAGAGTATACACTGGACTGAAACAAGGTGGCAGCGTTGAAATTGGACGTATATTAATTTTAATGTTAGAGACCTTCCACCCACGACTGTACACTTGGCAATAAGCAGTATGACTGGTGCTAGTTTGCACATCACTGCAGCGTGGGGTTCACTCAGTACTGCTCTGCGCACCGCTCGCATTAATTTATTCCGGTAGCTTGTGAAAGTTCTGCCAACCTCATCTGAGAGACTGTCCACACACTCTGTGGTTTGTTCACACACCGTGTTGTGCCCCGTGTGTCCGCGATCGCGTGTCTGCCGTGCGTGAGACTGTGATGTATTGCATGTCCTGCATTCTGCGTCCGCTCTTCAGCGGACGGTGTTAGCGACGTGGTGCACCCTCGCAAGAATTCAATCTCCGCGCACGTGTCAGCCATCGGCAGGGCTATCACCAGCTCTCGTAGTCCGCTCCAACTGTGCCACATTGTCAACATCTGGCATCGTGACAAACGAGAGAGAAAAAACCCTCCGCAAACAGCTTGTGGCGTCTTTTTGATTTCCTGCTGCTCAAATGAGCATTGAGAAATGTATGCTCACGCTCCCCCCCCCCCCCCCTTGCACCCCCGCATTGCTCGTTTGCAGAGCCAGTGGTGGAATATCAACATTTCTATGGTGGGGGGCGTTTATCCACAGGATAATCATTGTTGACTTTACCGCAAATTAGTGCTCGTTTTAGTCACCCCGGAGGGATGATGGGCCGTCAACAGTCAATCTCCAAACCAAGATCTTGAGTGGCAACTTTCTGATTGCGAGCCGGTTGCTCTACCATTGAGCCACCAGATGGCAGCCTGGTGAGTCACCGTTTGTCACGCAAACGAAGCGACCAGATTGTAACGTGTCGTGGAGTGATGTTTGGATTTGGCAATGTTGCACCACGACGCATAACCCCACGCTTCCTGTGATTCTCATGTCCTAAATCCGATCGGTATGCGTCCTACTGTAATGTCTGAGTATGCCCGCTCCGAGCCTAAAATATTTTATAACTATTTAACAGCCACCGCATTTACACGTCAAACGCGTGAGAACTTTGTATAAATGCATTTTTGGAAGCCGGACATTCATTTCTTTTTTTTTTTTACCCAAACCTGTGTATGTACCTTTGAAGATGCTCCTGCTTCTGTACATATTGTTAGTATATTTTTTACATTGTACAGTAAACATTGTTGGAAATGTTTCTCGAGTTTGTGGTGGCACGTGTTCAGCGTGTCCTGTACGTCTTGGCTAAAGTGGGAACAGAATGGCGAGCATTACAGGTGCGATCATCCAGCACACACTGGAAACGTGTTGCTTTTGTAACGTCCCAGGTAGTTTGTCGAGTCAATCTTGTGGCGACCTCAAGAGACGCTTGCAGTTCTGAAGACGTAGGTGTTAAACAGAACTGATACAACGCATTTGTGTAGAGATGTCTTAACGGAGCACGCTCCACTGGCGACACTCAAGCGCCCATGCTCTCTCCAGCGCAGTGCTTTCCCTCGCCACTAATTACACGGCTTGAACGCTGCTCGTGTAGGCCACTTTCGTTTCCCCACTTGACTGCACACGGCAACATCCTTTCTCACGAGCGTGCACCCAACAATACGGCTTCAACCGCACACAAACCTCTCGACAGGAGCCTTCTCAGCTGGTGTCTCACATTGAACCCGTGGGCTTATATTTGATTTATATTTCACAACGAAAGATTGTTTTTAACCAGGTAAGACCCACTGAGCTTTATAGTCCTTTTTTCAGAAACTCAACGAAGTGGCGTATCACGTGGGAATTAATAGCAGCCAAAAAAAAATGTGTGATGTTGATTATAAATGTAGAGGGAAACACCGGAAGGACCCGGAGAAAAATCTGCACGACCACGGGGAGAACATGCAAACTCCAAATATATAAATATAGAGTTAGTAAGGTTTTGCCACGTCAACAAAACATGCCAATCAGTGACTAGTTCAGCACACCAGTGTGTTGGAGAGTAGACCCACTATTTTTTCGAACCCTAAAAACAACCTCTAATTGATAATATTGGTCACGAAAGCCTGCTACTTGTTAAACGCATATTTAAATTGAGCAATGCTCCCATTGGTTGTCGAAATGCTATTCCCCACGTGTTTGTCTCCAGGCCGATTTGGACGGTGGGACCCTCTCTGGTAAAAGAGCCTAATATGTTAACTACCTCACCAGGTATACATGAGGTCGTTGGTTCGATCCGTACCCTGACTCCTGATGTATATTTAGGTGTGTATATTTTGACACTGGCAAAAAGGTCCCATAGATATACTGAAAAGGTTTATAACAATAATAGGGTTTACCCCTTTTTTTCTGGCAACAAAACTGAAACCTTTTTACAAGGATTCATGTCTGCATTAACCACAATACCTGCAGTCAAAATGCAAACAAAAAACGTACATAATATATGCATTGTCCTTGAAACTGATTGCTCCAAACCAAGGGACGGCTTTCTTTTGAGCCTCGACCCAATTGGTGCTCGACCAGGTGACGCCAAAAGGCGTGGTTTATAACACTGTAAAGTTTTTTGTTAAATTGTGTAAATACAAATGTGTCATTAACCCACCTCCACCCGACAGTCATTTAATAAAGTTGGTCACGTAAACTAAATGTGCCAATTAGTTACTATTTCAACGCCTGCTTCGTTACTACTTATGCATTGGCTGTGGCGGGTTTAACGACGCATATTTACGCGATCTAACCGAAAAAAAAACTTTTATGAATAATATTGGTCGCGAAAGCCTACTGCGTATCAAACCTCATTATGCGGGCCGACTCATTGTCACGATTCAAGGTCGCATATTTACTCAAAACAGATTTTGCTTTTTAAAATTGTGTAAAATGTAGCGGCCTTCAGTGGATGAAAGGGTTACAGTACGAACTTATTTATCGGAACATAGGAATCATCAAAGCGTCCTTTGCACCTGATTCAATGCATGTATTGTGACGTAAATATGAATACCGTATGCACAAGTATGGGACCGTGCCATGAGCAGGCACAGTTATAATCTCAGCAAGCATCGCAGCCCTATCCCGATCACTGGGATCGGTTCCTGGCAGGGTCCATGCACGGCCTCCTTGCTACACCTCCACTCGGTTGACGCAGCCCAAAGTTAGTCGAGAAAATAGGACACTCAATCCACTGCCGGATGAGGGCTTCGCCACACTGGATCATCGAGGTTGTCTGACCATACTTCACCACGCTGGTCAGTCGGTGCGGGTTAGTGAAGGAGTACAGACGTTCCATTAGTTCATAGTTCTATTTATTTGGTATAGCCCTGTGAGCCATTCGGCTCTTGAATCGGGTGCAACAGCAACAAACAAAAAAAACATGAACGAGAAAACATCTTAAAGTGACTACGTGACTGTGCAAACAGAAAATCCAGGAAAAAAACATCAAAATATTCCTGAAATAGCACCGTACACCAACGCTGTGTGCAAAAATCCCAATGGGATGCAAGTCAAACAACAACAGCAACAACCACAAGACAACTAAAATTAAGGCCATCAGTATAACTCTGTACTACAATAAACAAAAACATGGCCAAACCATAAAACTTTTCGAAATCACCAAAATAAAGCCATAAATGCAATGTAACAGTGATCATAGGGACTGTGACCGAATTTTTTTACAATAAACTACATAAATAACATGTAACACCAAACCATAGAGCCATAGCTGGCTGCATGAGTCACTCCACAACAACAGGAGCATCAGTCGTAGCTAACAATAGCTAACAATGAGGTCTTGCTGCACTGCCTTCTGCTGACAACAGCAAGCTCACAAGCACCTATCTGTAGGGCGGTGGTCGCTCATAAAAGCACTATCCAGGTCCAACGCCTGCTTAGCTTCTGATATCTGACAGGAGTGGACGGATTCCATGTGATTTGATCCAGGGCCAGTACAGTCTGCTTTCACTAAACTGAGTTCAAGTGAAAGCAGAAATGTATATTCAGTCTGATTATATCTCAGCAGCTGCACGAGGCGAGTGGATGACACATCTAATATCAAAAGCTCTCCACTGACACTGGCTGCCAATAACGTGTCAGTAAATCAGCTCATTGACCCGTTGAAGACGCACTAACGACATCTCTAACCCTGCACCGAGCAGTCGCTAGAGGGCGACATAAACCTGGAGGCAGTTTTCTAAGTTGACGCTGCGTTGTCCAGCGCATGAAATAGCACTGTGAGATCAAAGCGTGGAGTGGCACGTGGGGCAGTCAGGGACATTCGTTTAATTTCGCTTGTTTTCTTCTTTACGTATTTCTCTGTATCGAGTTAGCAGACGATGGAATTATTTGTACGATGATGGTACAATCTCTTTTTAGTCTTCATAGGCACTGACAACCAACTGGTGCACTTTGATTACCAGCTGCATTGATGATTATTGCAGAAGTTCGGTGGGTTTGAATCCGGCAGGCCACCCTGGTTATTTTTTGCGGGTGTATTAACCATTACAGTACGCGTCGTCTGCTTAACGGTGCGCTTGAAAGATCCCTCTGAAGCCATTTGAAACGCGTCGGCCATTGTGTGCCGGCATCATGGTCCACATTTGGAGCCTCACCTGCATTCTGCTCAATTGGGGTTACACGAAGCAATATCAGCCTTTGCTGTGAAACTACTGCAGACCGTGTCTGAAGCACAGCAGCGCCTTCGCGATGATAGATTTGCGTGTGCATATCAAATGTACTCCGTTATTATGTATCAATATATTATTATCTGTATGAATTAAGTTGAAGCTGAGCGGGTGGTGGAAGTTATTGCTAACATTATAAGTGATATTTAGCATTTTTATATCAAATTGGAATTCGTTCAATTCAAAAAATATAAAGCTCTATTTTGGTATTCAAAGCCACTTCTCTGCACACTATATTCTGTGCTTAGATATATTTTTCTTGAAAGAAGGATATAGGAAGGATACAGGCTGTCGGAAAACAGGATTATATTTATTTATAAGCAGTATATTGGATTTCGTGCATTCCAAGCAGGAGGTCGTAGGCAAATCTTGCCACATGTGGGTTTGGCTGCACTTGATAAATGCCCTGTGCTGCACTCAGCTGCCATAGATTCCTGCTTTTTTAATGTTTAGCTTTGGATGTGAACTAACACATCAAAATAAATACGGATATGCTTATGTAAGGCGCACAGCTTAGAGCATGAAGATATGAGTCTTTTGAACGAACTTTTATATTCAGTCAAACGTATACACATCGAACGGGCTTTCTGATATGATAATTGATCATGAGTGAATACAGCTTTTTGTGATATGCATCAATCATACCAATTGCTACTTAAAAGATTTGATCATTAAGCTACCGATGTAGATGACATTGGTGAATTACATCGTTTGCAATAGAAGTTTCATTTATATACATTAAACATTACATTGCAGCTGATTCGTTAGTGATAAAAAGTCTGATTAAAAAATTTGAATTCCTATTTTGATGGATTTGGTAATATACATTTAAAAACCCAGAGTCGTAGCCTTACTGAACGCCGTGTAGTGTTAGGATAAGGTGAGACATAATATTTTGTTATGACAAGTCCTGTTATCTAGCATATGAAGACAGAGGAGCACATGAAGGGCCGGTGCGACCAAAGACACACCCGACTGCCTTTGTCTTCTAACAGACAATGTAGAAGGACCAGAGCAGTTTCAAATTCCATCAGGCAATGGTTTGCATGGCCAGGAGTTGAATGCTGGTAGTCAGGTTTATAACGCAATGCACTAAACCACTAAGCCGTGGCTCTTCACTATTGCACACCACAAACATATCAACAACACACCCATGCATTTTTTTAGTGTGCACCTCATCGGATCGAAAAGCAATCCAGAGCAGCACAAAGCACCGCAAAGCGGGCACTAATGACTCGTGCTCTCTGGTCCCCTTCGCAGAATTAAACAATTGTCAAAGGTCAAGGACTCAAGCGAACACAGTAGAGATGCCAGCCGTGCTCGCGCAGATAAAGACTGGAGTGTGGAATGGAGAGAGATGTTTTATTCAGTGGCTTTACGTTGCTCTTAGCGCAGGTGTTGGGTAATGGAGGTAATACCAGCACCTATTTTGTTGTCTTTCAAACTCTTTTAATTTAATTTAAATTTGATGACAAAGGTAAGTTTGAGCACGACAACACGGGATTGCCTCGTGGGCAGAGTCTACCTGCAGATAAATGTTTTAAACATTGCAAAAAGCCATTAATGGCTGCCAAACACCTATTTTGGATGCTGGAAAACAGCACTATAATTCAGTAAGTTACCGTGTACAGACACAACTTTTTACAACTGCAGTTTCACTCTTTTTCCGAGAGATTTTCTAAAGGCTACGGTTTTACAATAATTTACAACTTGCACAACAAATGGAACGTGTTGGTAAAATAAGGCATACTAAAGGATAAACCAGAAACACATGTTCCTGTTTGACTTTCCACGTGTTCAGTCACGTAAAACCCACGCACCGTGATTGTCTGGCATCACGGATGCGCTTGTTGCTCACTGGGTCTGACCCCATACGGCGACAAGCGACATCTATATTCCTTGAGTGACAAAGTGGTCAGCTTGTGAGCCTCCCTAAACCGCAGCCTGATTGATATATCGATTGTTAATGGAAGCGTGGGTGTCCGTAATAGACACGGGGACGTGCAGTAGTTGGGTAGAGGAGTGGCTTGGGAGACCTCATGGCACTCATTACGTGCATGAACGATGCACCGCGGCGTGCACTGGGACGCGTACCCCCACCGGTGCTCAAATGACTTTCTCTTTAACAAACGAAAGAAATGAAGCTCATAAACCAGAGTCAGTAGCTCATGACACACTCAGCCCCTCCCCCCCCCACCCCCCATAGGCCACAGAGTCCTTGAAATGCTACATCGTGCCTTTTTTCAAATATGTTTTTTTTTAATTGGCAGGTTCGAATAGGCCACGCTAAAATTGCCTGCGAGGTGTTTGGGCTGGCGTGAAATTGAGCGTAAAATTGTTCATTGCATTATTTTTTTCCTTTTCTCTTTCCGTCCGCGTTTCTTGTTGACTGCCCACAATCTAAAACAACAAACATCGCCGCTGTCGTGTGTCTGTAATCGTATTCATGAGGTTCTGTAACTCAAAAGGGACTCTTTTTAAATGTCGCATTTGCATGTTGACGCGACACAATTGTATAAAACATAAATTACAATCATCACGGCACATGAACAATAACTATTAAAAGGGCATGTGTAGAAATGCGAGTTTTATGTATGGATATACACGCTGCATGCCCTGAAAGGGTTCTGTGAGCACTTAATATTCCCTGTGTTGTGTTTATGTTGAACACAAAACTAGAATGCACGAGAGATATGGCTTCTGCAAGGCTGCAACATTTCTTTGGTCTTTGAGAAGCGACCAAACATTACATTTTGCCGCAGTTAATTTAATTCCTTTTAAAAGGCACTGCCCTCACATTAACTCAAGCGGCGCCTAAGGCTTCGTTCTCTTTAGTACATATATTGCGTACCAACCCTATCGTCTCTGCCTCTCCATGCGCGTCGTTCTTCCCAGACAGACGCACGCTATTGCGAACCCTGCTCTGGTTTCCCATCCAACGCTTTATAAAACCACTGCAACCTGCCAGGCCAAATCATAGGCGCAAGCGAATTAGAATAAAAAAAACGAAAAGGCAAAATGTGCAATCTATTACACGTGATACAATGTAGTCGGAATCCTCAATTGAAAGCTGAAAGATAGCTTCATTAAAGTTGCACATGTCCAATTAATAACTGTGCCGGGTTACTAATCCATGCAAAAAAAAACGCAATTGGAAATTACTGGGTGCAGAGTGGGATGACAGTGACGAACGACGGTAATTGTATTTTATTTAATTAGTGAAAACTGTGATGGCTAAAATGCATTGCTATTAAACACAAGCTGCACCGCCAACTAGTCGAATGAGCGCGTACAAGTGTACAACGATAGGAGAGAAACATCACTGCTATCGCAACGATATCAGCGGTGACGGGACATGGCTATGACCAACACCTACGTGAGATGCCCTGTGAAACAGTTCCCTAAACATTACATCAGTCAAACGAGCTGGGATCGCCGCACGCTGGGCCAACGATGCTCCCGGTGGGGAGCCAGTAACACGTGCTGCCGCATTCATAAGCAGAAAAGCGTTGCTTATTTAGCTGCGGCAGTACCCTGGGCAAACACACACACACTCCGAACACTCGCCTCGGTAACAATAAATAGTACGAATACACAAAACTTTAATTACGATTCCCCGGGGTGATTTCGTAAAAAAAAAAAAACCTATGTTGATACCCGGCACACCTTCGAAGCAGTTTTTTTAAAGTTAACGCTTTTTCGATAGATATATGAACGAACAAATAAATTAAAAAAAAACCAGTGTACTCGGTGATTGACAGATGGGAACACTGGGTGTGTCTATTTTCGATAGGACCCCTTGGTGGTTGTGCTCGCATGCGAGTCGCGTCCACGTGTCACGCGGAGGACGCTGGGTGGATGGGCGAGCGAGCGAGCGAGAAGGCTATCACCGCCGTTGGCGCTGCTCGCGGTGCTGGTGGTGGTCCTGAAGTGGACAGCGCCCGGGTCCCTGTAATGTAACGCAGAGGAGCGCTGTAAAATATGTATGAGATGGGCAGGCAGAGGGAGGCTGTGGGAGTAGTGTGTGTGAGCTTCGGGCTCCTCCTTCCCTCGAGTCGGTTGGCGTTAAGGAACGGTCCGGTTGCGTTTCAATAATCTTAGCTCCCCCCCTCCACCACCTCCCTAACCCCCACGTCCAACCCCACACTCCCCCTCTCTCATTTCTGCCGTTACCGCCCCGGCGGCGCGAAGTGACAAGCGGATAGAAAAATACATAAACAAATACTCAACAGCAGAGATCAGCTGTCAGTTCGTCGTCCCTGCCCAGATCGCCCTCTCTAAACATTTCTGCGCGGCGTGGCTCTGCAAGAACTGCGTGAACGGCAGAAGCAGCGCAGGCTGCGGTGCGAACGAGCGGTCGCGTTTTTAGTTGAAGGTTTTATTTATTTACTCGTTTGCTCTTCTGAGCGAGGTGGAGGGGGCTGCTGAAACGTCGAGCGACAAAATCGCCCCCTCCCGCTCCCCGCCTGTATGCGCGCCGTCTCAGTGTAGCAGCCAAGGCGGGCACTCCTTCACAGGGCACCAGCGGGCAGCGCTAGCACCGCGTTTGTTCAGCTCCAGGGAGAAGCGCAAGCCGTCTCAACTTTACTCATTCATCAAAGGGTAAGTAGGGGCTCTAATAAAGTCGTCACTGTTGCATTACCACCGTTTACTACGATCGTTATATTGTGACATGCGCAGGCGCGCGATAGAAGCCGGGCTTATAGCGACTTTGCGTCCCTGTAGCATGTGCAATGCCGAGCGCCTAACTTGTAAGTAGCGCTAATGTTAGTCATTTGGCGCTGCTGCGGTGGAAGTGGTACACAAGTACAAGTCACAAAACAACTCAACACGATCGTCAATCACAACGTGGGCTTAAGATTTAAAATATGTAATAGGTGACGTTTCTGGAACGTTTCGGGCAATGGCCCTTCTTCATAGGACATTTTAAAAAGACACTGAATGTGCTATGAAACGTCGCCTGTGATATATTTTTCAGGTTAAGGCCACAGTGTTATTGACGAACGTGTTGAGTGTTTTTCTACGTCGTAATGTGCGCTATGATACTGCATTTATATTTGTGATTTGGAGTGGTGATATATGTCACAGATGTAACTTGTACAATTGTACTGGCAATTATATTCACTTATAACGAGCGGGGTCAGACGTACGTGCAGTGTGGTTTTCGATATGCAGTGCAATCCATGTAATATATATATATCATTTACTCCAGTGACAACCACGCTGGGACCCGGCACACAATATCGAATTCCATTCTCAAGGGAGTCTTGAAACATCGCGTTGCAGCAATGAGGGTGCAACTATTATTAATGCTTTCAAATTGTGTTGTAAATATTATTGTGAATATAAATTGAGATGATGGATACGGCGTCGGTACTCTTAAGAACGATGCCACGGGATCTCTGACGTGCAGGAGACGGCTCCCATTGGTTCAGCAACACGGGGTGGAAGGATGCATCCAGTCATTGATTCGTTTATAATTTTGACGCTCAAGAAAGATATACCGAATCGCGTAGTTTTCTATGTATTCGTTTTATGCAAATTGTATGCTAATGTTACGTCTAGGCTAATAGAGTGGCGACTGACGTCCTGCAGAAGTTACAGAGCGGGAATAAAACAGTGTGAAACTCGCTCAGTGGGCATCGCCAATAATCATTCATAGGCACAGCAAGCCGCCAATCTTCTACACGCTGTAGAGACCGCATTCGTGTGGCGGGCACCGTTTGAGCGGAACCAAATGGAAGACTGGGATCTGGAAGTCCCTGGTGGCACTCAGCGCAGCCACATTTATGGCAGTGCCGCGTCGGGCCTTAATTAGCAATTAAGTATTATTCCTGGATGTGAAGTCATTAAGCTGGCATGGGCGAGGAAGGCGTGATCTCGGTACGGTTAATGTGCGCACTTTATGTGAGCAGATAAGGCCTAACAACTTATTCACTTCGCGTGGGGTTTTGTTTATGAGCGTTGTGTTTACCAAATGAAGGCGTTTACCGAAAATGCCAGGTGGCACACTTAATGAGCTGCATAGCAATTACATCATAACGTGAATTACTCTTTGCATGGGTTTATACATTGCTTATGTGATTATGTTCATATGTATACACTCGTTTTGGTTAATAAGGAGGTGCATAGACCATTTTTCAGTATTATTCAGTACAATATTAATCATTTCATTTTTATATAGCGTCATGCTAATTGCACCCCACAACGCAAATCAATGACATTTATAGCAGGGCAGTCACTACATTGCCTCAATGCATCTTGTCGCAAGATGCAATAAAATGTGAAGCAGCCTTAGGTTGCTTAGGATGCAGCGGCATTGATTGATTGCTCCCATATTGGCAGATGAGGGCAGCCAGGCAACGGGCCAGTTCTAAGTATATTCATGAGGGTAGTCACCCACAACAGCCCCCCTCAATCTGACCCTGCACCGCAAGCACGTGGCATCAGAGGAACGGCCACTCGAGTTGATGATTAACCGCTGTTTTTTTTACTCTAATATAAATTTGTTTTTAATCACGTGCCCCCCCCCCCCCCTCTCTCTTTTCTCGCTGCCTTTCCTCTCGAACGCTGTCGGTTTGCGGTGTGAGAAAGCCGCGTCTTGTACGCGCGATGTAAATGACGCGATAAATTCAAGTTGACAGATGATCCAGTCTCTATCAATTTTTTAAAAAAGAAGGGTCTCCACCTTCGTCTCTGCGTATCCGATTCCCTCGTTGCGGCGCGCGCCCACGAGCGGGTTACCAGGCGCGCTGGCACTCACGGCACGGGCTCGGGTTGCGCATTCATCTGCCGTGAAGGCACCATGGACACGCAGAGCTCACAGCTGCGCGCTACCCCCCCCCCCCCCACTGACTGACAGCTTCCACAGAGGCCCCATGCTTTATTGGAACATTCAATGCCTGACCTCAATCACTCAAGCCACGAACAAGGCAAAGGGCCTATTTTAAATTTACAGCTTAATCAATTTCAACGTTTTATTTGCGCACATCTCCGTGCAAGAACAGCGATGCAAGCAGCGTGACCCAACATAATTAAGAGAGAAAATGGGCTACTTAATTTAAGGTTTATAGCCCACCTTGCTCTTAACAGCAGGTAATGTTTGCGTGTGCTGTTGTATTCCTGCAGGGTAAATGGAATTAAATTATCCATCAACGTTTAATTAACTCTCCGTGGACAAAAGGAGGATACAACGTTTCGTGGGTAAGTTTTGCAAACTATGCTTCCATCGACATCCAGAAATACAAAACGCATCCTTTAATCCAAGAGTCTATCTCTCGGGCATATTATAGATTACTTGAGCTACAATCAAGAGATGGAGTTTCCCATTTTGGTTGTTGGTGTAAAGTATCACACAGTGCCCATTGATGACAACAAAACCTTCTTTAAATAATTAAGAACCCAATTTTGAATTACGTCTCATGCTCAGCAGTGTTAGTCACATTCGACGATAGAACATTAACACATAAAACATATATGATGTTGCTACTATATAATAATGACACCTAAAATTACATTTTCCAGGGCTTCTGTGCAAGTTTTTTTTGAAGATCCTGAACTACAGAGAAAATATCTTTTTTATTAAAGATGTTCTCGAGTAGGATCGGGACAGCATTACTCATCTCTGAGCTCTGCGTGGCATTTCTGCCACGTCTGGCTGGAGGTAAGCTTTCCCACAGATCCTGCTTCTGATAGTAGTGACAGCATGTCCTGAACACGCCACGGTTATTTGTGTTTACGATTATAATATATATTTTGGTGTTTGATATATTTATTTCTTTTTTCAATCCATCGATGAGACAACCTGATGCTAGAGATATAAAACGCATTGAATCGTGCTAAGTCAGCTTGTCCAAAATCAAGATTGATCTGCCCTGCTCACGACCAAGCTTTACAGGGACATGCATGTCTTGTTAACATTTCCCAATCGAAACTCTAGTGCATTTACCTTGGTTAAAACGTGTTAACGTTGATTTGTGTATAATTGTATCAGAATATGACGGGAGTAACATTTTGCGTGTGTTTTTTTTTTTACAGCAAACAGGCCACCAACGTTTCTGAATAGTTTCTTTGGAGGGTTTATCCCTGTTTCAGAAGACACGTTAGTCGGTGAGTTACACCCCACGTGTTACACACCACGCTAGTCGGTGAGTTACATCCCACGTGTTACACCACACGTGTTACACACCACGTGTTACACACCACGTGTTACACACCACGTGTTACATACCATGTGTTACATACACACTAGGCGTTACATACCACGTGTTACACACCACGTGTTACATACACACTAGGCGTTACACACCACGTGTTACACACCACGTGTTACACACCACGTGTTACATACACACTAGGCGTTACACACCACGTGTTACACACCACGTGTTACATACACACTAGGCGTTACACACCACGTGTTACACACCACGTGTTACACACCACGTGTTACATACACACTAGGCGTTACACACCACGTGTTACAAACCACGTGTTACACACCACGTGTTACATACACACTAGGCGTTACACACCACGTGTTACACACCACGTGTTACACACCACGTGTTACATACACACTAGGCGTTACACACCACGTGTTACAAACCACGTGTTACACACCACGTGTTACATACACGCTAGGCGTTACACACCACGTGTTACGCACCACGTGTTACACACCACGTGTTACATACCACGTGTTACATACCATGTGTTACGTACACACTAGGCGTTACACACCACGTGTTACACACCACGTGTTACATACACACTAGGCGCTACACACCACGTGTTACATACACACTAGGCGTTACACACCACGTGTTACACACCACGTGTTACATACACACCAGGCGTTACACACCACGTGTTACACACCACGTGTTGCATACACACTAGGCGTTACACACCACGTGTTACACACCACGTGTTACATACACACCAGGCGTTACACACCACGTGTTACACACCACGTGTTACATACACACCACGTGTTACACACCACGTGTTACACATCACGTGTTACACACCACGTGTTACATACACACTAGGCGTTACACACCACGTGTTACACACCACGTGTTACATACACACCACGTGTTCCACGCCACGTGCCTGCCCGTGTCCACACACAAAAAACATGCACGGAGTCGATCCATCACCGACTGGTGGAAGACAGCTGCCACAGCAGCAGACACTCGTACAGATATATTACCGCACAGTTGCTTTGTTTTCCTATACAAATTGGTGCATTTTTGAAGTGGATGCACTTTCTAGACTTTCCTGATAAATGGCAACTGGCTGCCAAGTCAAGGATACACTCGATGCTAAAGTATCATTTTCTCTTTTGAAATTTGAAAAGGGGAAGTGTGAGCCTTTGCCACCGGTCAAGGAAACACTGCCGGAATGCGGTCATGTGAGATACATAGTAAAGAAATAATCACATGATTGGGTAAACAAATTAAAGGATCGTTTAATGGACGTGAAATAAAACAAAGGTTAACTAACTAGCGTACACGCATTCTAAATGCACAGTTGAGAATGTAACAATTCTATGTTGACTGTTGAGAAAAAAACAAAGCGTGGGCTTTGGGCAGTGGTACGTCGTTGTCGCTAGAAGGGATGACGGCCAATGATAGAGTGGGCAGCCAAATGAGGAATCGGGCTCGAAAGGACCGATCACCCCGAACGTGGAAGCGATGGAATCAGATGGCGTCCTGCAGGTGCTAGACGGATCGCTATATCGGGGGGTCGTGAGAGATAGGCGACAGCATGCCGCACAGCCTTCATCCCATCGTGGATTGATAATGGCCGGTGACGTTGATAATACTTGTGAAGGACTGTGTGAGTGTAGATAGTGCCGAGGATACCTCAGTAAACGCCAACATGAATGAGCGATTCGCAAGGAGTTCACTCACCGCCTTCGTTCCGGCTGCTTCGGGTTGCCACAAACTAACCTCTGGCTGTGTCCACCTCGGGGTAGACTTCCTGAGCAAAAAGAGCACCGACTGTAATTGAGCAATGGACATTAATGAAAGTCTCTCTAATGACACAGCTCATTTCTGTAAAATACAAGCTGAGTATGAATGAAGCTGAAATGGAATATTTACGCGAATGAATTCCAAGCGTGGACCGCGATTTCCAAAGAGTGTGTATCATCGGAGAACAGCTCACGGAAGTTCCCGTGACACGCGGCACCTGTTAATTCTAGCGAGCAATACCCCCCCCCCCCGCAGGCCGATTCAATCCACACGTACGTCTCTCCCGCACACCGCTGCGATTTTAAATGCTCATATTTGTTTGACTCTACAGATATTGAGATGGAACCAGAAGGGATTGCTGCCTTGACACAAAATTCAATTACGTTGTTTTGGATGCGGTCATTATAACACTTTTATGCTGACGTTTATGTGACGCCTCCATAAAACCGGTATAGAATGCGGTGCAAATAAAATGCACCTAAATATACGTGTGGAAATTAGCATTTTTTATCACGATATATTTTCTGGGGCATAACAAGCGTGTAAAATTATACTATCTCACAATATCTCTAGCGACGAGCAGGCCACATCATATTCTCTACACGAGTCAGCATCATGCATGCAGCATTTGATATCCTGAACATTTGACTGCTGAAGTGAAGATTGTTTATGTGGATTGCCTCTACGTGTTAAGTGCTGTCGAGATCTGGAGGGACACTGAAGACACTAAAAATCTATTTAACGGGACAATAAATAACGTTGCTAAACCTGGGAAGTATATAATAAAGGCTTCAAATGAATACGTGATTTTAGGAATGCTATCTCTGCTGTGCAATTGGGAATTAAATCACATTTCACTCGTTGTGCTTTTTCAAACGCGTCTTGCGACAACATTATTTATTTCAGAGAATCCAGGACACTACCACAGGACTACCTTTAAACATTCAAGAGCACTTTAGAAGGTTAAAAGGTGGCAAAGATCAGTCGCATCTGAACGTGTTCAATACGATTACCTTGATCATTTCGCAACAGTGCTCCCCCCAAAGGTGCTTCCCCCACAACACTTCCATTCTGGGCCGGCACCCAAACAGCAAAGCAACAAATGCCACCTTCCATTTACAGCTTGGAGAAAACATCTCTCGTGCACGCCCCACTCTGTGACAGGCAGCACTTGCAGAAAGAAAAAAAAATGCTCTAAGTTTTTTTTGGTGTGTGCCTTCCCTCCCCCCCTAGCGAGACAACGTAGCACATGCGATTGCAAGTCCTCTGTGTTCAAGGCCATTATGCAACTTGCTGATTACACGGGGGTAATGGAGGGTAGAGAGTATGGTATGCGCTGTACGTATTTAACCCTTTTCGCGGCGCGAAAGCCAAAGGTTGGTACAACATGGATTGCGCGAGGGCCATTCCATACTGCTGAATTTAGAGCGGGACTCAAGCACTTTGCCGGAAGGAAGTTAGTAAAATATAGTGTCCAATGTAGTTGAAAGTAGATGGAGTCTGTAGATCTCTCCCAGTCACTGGTGGCATCAGAATTGTAATTTTCAGCCTGGAATCGTTCCTTGAAATTAACTGTGACCTTTCCGTGCGCTACCCGGTTCATTATCCTGGGATGCATCACTACTGGCGATTCTCTAAATTGACTTTACTCCCATGTCACTTATTTAGCCAAGCCGTCAGTAACGATTAATCTGACGTAACCTGCTTAACGCACGCGGACGCTAAAGCAAAGTGCGGACAAGCACTGCCTTCACAAACTACACTCAATAACCACTACCCTGTCAATACAGAATCAGGATACATAGGGAAAAACAGACAATATGCCTCTTTCTCATATGTTTCTCTCCACATATGAAATGTCAGTGTATTTTTTTTAACACTCCCCAGTGGCCAAATGGCCTTTGGGAGTGCATGTCTATATATATATTTGATCACCATGAGTTTAATACAAGTATTCTTTGTAAACGGGTTTCGACATTCATCATTGTTTCACGAGCATAGCCAGGCTTGTTTATATACCAACACTGGTAACGGGATACCAACGGGTCGCCGTGTCTGGCGTAGACGAATGCATCTGGAGGATAAACCTCGTTGTGATCCAAGCAGGAAAGAGAAGCGGAGAGGATAAAGGATAAAAGTAAGAAAGAGAAGAGGAAAGCAAAGAGAGAGCTGGGTGGAGAGTGCACGAAGGTGTAAATGAGAAAGCCACCGCTGGGCGATCAGCAGAGTCCCACGCCTTGCTGTAGACCAGTGGCTTCTGTGGGCCCTGCCAGGCTGTGCATCGCGGTCTGCAGAACTGTTTGCGGGCGACTATTTTTCTCGCTAAGGATCGGATGCTGCACTACACGGGCGGTCCGCTAAGCGTTGCTCAGGGTTGGGAACCACCGCCATCGATGCTCACCGAAGTAATCCTGATGTTTAAGCCAAGTGTAGCTTACACAGACTCCAAGTAAATGAATTCATCCTCTTTTTGTGAATGCTGTCAGGAGAGGTGTCATCTGACTAATTTTTTGCACGCGCCCAAATTGGCTTTTAATATGCCACATTCTGCTCTACTGTCGCGCAATAATGCCGAAATTCTATTTCTGTTTGTCACGAGATAACTGCTTCTTGTGTGTTAGTTCGTTGTCCCTTCCCTACGTATGGTGTGAAATAAGTTCAACATACAGACAAACCATGTACCACCACCCCACACACACACGTCCTCAAACTCCCTTCCTCTTTAAACAAATGCCCCTTTTCCCTTAAAATTACCTTCATCGATTTGCACGATTCACCAGAGTGGAGCACTAGTATCAAGTCTTGTTGTTAATTGTGGTAAGATAACAGCGAACTGGACCGAGAACGTTACAGCAATAAGCGATAATGGGATGCACAACTGCATCTGATGAAAGGATAATACGTATTCCCAATGCAGTCTTAGAGTGGGAGGATATAATAGAATATGTGCAATGTGGAATTTGTACAATGGGTTCAGCATCATTAATAACGCATGTTTGAATGTTAATGGGCAACAAGCATTATCATTTCAATAGTTATACAATGTAGACATAATATCTGGATTACTCACAAGTTTACACGTGCCACTGTGAGACATGTCCAAAATCCGCTCGCTAAAATCACCAA